CCAGAGATTGGTGTAGACAGAAAGATAGGATGGGGCAGGGGTGAAGAAGGAGGTGGCATGAGAGGCTGCTGAGGCTGTGAAGCTGGTTCCTGGCTCAGCCTGTAGGGCCTGGGTCTCCTTCAAGGTGAAGAGGCTGTGCTGATGCCATGTGCAAGTATCCCTCCTTTACTGAATTAGCAGTGAGCCTGGAGACAGATCAGTGAGGAAACTGAGGCTCAGAGAGGAAGGGATCTGCTCAAGGTCCCAAACCAATGAGTGTTTGAGCTTGGCTCAAGCCCAGGTCTGCCTGGCTCCAAAGCCCTCTTTCTAGTTAACTGAGTGATCACACATCTCATCTTACCTGGGACAGGCCCTGTTTGTGCCTGCTGCCCTGATGCAGTTATTACTAGTGCTTCTTTTAACTCTTAGAGGTGTTTCTGGTTATTTTTTATTTTTTATTTTTTGAGCTGGAATCTTGCTCTGTCTCCCAAGCTGGAGTGCACTGGCGTAATCTCTGCTCACTGCAACCCCCGCCTCCTAGGTATAAGCAATTCACTGCCTCAGCCTCCTGAGTAGCTGGGATTACAGGCACCTGCCGCCACGCCCAGCTAATTTTTGTATGTTTAGTAGAGATGGGGTTTCACCATCTTGGCCAGGCACATCTTGAACTCCTGACCTCTTGATCCACTCGCCTTGGCCTCCCAAAGTGCTGGGATTACAGGCTTGAGCCACTGTGCCTGGCTGTGTTTCTGGTTTATACGATTAATTATGTGGTCATCCTCCTCTGACCCATTCTGGCTTGAGACCCTCCCATGTCCCATAACCCCCAGCATGAGGTCTGCTGTGTATATTTTTTCTGATTCTATAAAACAGATTTAGGCTGAACCAGCCCCTTAGCTGCCTGGTGTGCCTAGCCTCTGGGGAATAGTGGGTGAGAAGGTGGGTTCACATGCCCCTTTGGGAGAGGAGAAAAGGCTAAAGGAGCAGGGAGCCAGGGGTGCGGTTGAGTGGGGAGAAGCTCTGTGGAAGAATCTTGGAGGTCGCCTAGAGGAGGAGGCCCGCTGAGCTGCATTTTGATGTGGAGGTGGGCTTCTGTGGGCTATGGGAGGGAGAGGGGAGAGAAGGAGGAAACAGAGTGAAGGCTTGGAGGTATTGCCATTGAGGACGGGTCCCAGTGGGTGAGAAGTCAGTGAGTGACATCCCAGCTGGGCCTCAGCTGGACCTCGGGTTTGGAGCAGGGCCTTACTCTTAGTGTTGCAAGCAGTGAGAGGCTGGGACTCCAGTTATGGCGGGGACATTCCTTGGGCCCTATTCTTGGTAGGGGGTCACTGCCCCTTCCCTGGGGTTTTCCCATATGTTGTGCCTTCCTGAAAGCACTTCTCCTTTCCTGGGCTCCGTCCTGACTCAGCAGTGCCCTGATATCCTGTGGTAAGAAGGCAAGCAGGGAGCAGCCAGGAGGCTTCCTGGAGGAGGTGGCTAGAATTTGCAAGAGGCTTCTGAGAGGCCCCTTTATACCACCTTCGTGAGACATGGTGCCTTCCCTGTGGAAGCTCTGCTGGGAAAGGACCCTTTGCATCAGTTTCCCTCTCCCTTCCTGCTGTGGTAAGGGCAGTGATGTGTTCCCTCTCAGATGGGTCCTGAGTCCTGGTGGCCCATGGGAGGAGGCTGGCCTCAGAGAACCCCTGGGACTCTGGCATGGCCTCGTTTGCTCGGCTGTGGTGCTGGGCTGCCAGGGCTCAATCCCCGCTGTGGCACCAAGGACAAATAACCTAGCATTTATTTGCCTCGGTTTCCTCCTCTGTAAAGTGGTATCATGATGAGCCTTACCTTACAGAGCACCTGTAATGAGTAGATAAATGAGGAGTCCATGTCAAGTGCTTAGAAAATGGCTGGGAACACACATGTGGACACATGCGCACACATAGTTAATGAATCCAGGTATCTGTAAGTCCCTGCTGAGTACTGGAGATACACCAGTGAGGAAGGAGGGTGTGAAGTTTGCCTCAGGGAACCTGCTTGCTGCCCAAGATAGGCAGACCCCTCGCAGCGGATCAGGACAGTGGTGGGAGATTCACTGTGGCGCCAGAGGAGGGGCCAATGCTGCCGGACCCCAAGGATGAGGATGAGCAGGTGGGCAGTTTTTCTCTATGGTACCACTTTCCCCTCAGCTCTGGCCCTCAGACCTGGGGGAGCTTTGGGAGCCCAGCCCCTTCAAATCTGTTTGGCATTGGAGGGATGGCGCCTGTCCCCACCTCCCTGGACTGAGGTCTGACTGGCTGTGGCCTGACAACTTAGAATTCTGTTCTCTGCTGATCCCAGGCCTGGCCTCCACGCCCCTTCCTCTTGGGCTCTGGGAGGCAGCAGTGATGGATTAATTTACTCATCAAGAAGTCTCTAAGGGAATCGCAGGTGGCCCGCTAGGGCCAGCACCCCAGATCATGCTTTTGGGCCTTCGGGCACTACCTCGGTTGCTTGGTCATTGTTTACCCCTTCCGTTGCCTTCTCTTCCTCCTGCTGCCTACCTGCTCACCTGTCCACCCACCTGGCCCACATACTCTTGCTACTGACTGGGCTTTGGGGGGACCAAGTCAAGTGCTGCCCCTGCCCCAAAGGGACTCAGGTCATGTGGGAGAGATAGCCTGGTACAGTGCCTACCAGGAGGTCTTCATAGGTGCAGCTATGAAAGTACATTCCGACTCAAGACTCCCATGGGCCCCCCCTTGGCCTCAGATTCCCAGAGAGGCCCATCAGGTAGGGAGCAGCTTGCCACCAGGGCAGTGACAGGCCTTCGTCTGCCGAGGGGTCCTTGAAGTAATCCGAGCCACAGCCCATGCAGCTGTCCAGGGGCCGTTCTCTGTGGCCCTCCAAGTGACAGCTCAGGAGTGAAGGACTGGGTCTCACAGCAGATAGTGACTCACAGGGAGCCAGCCGGCTTTGAAAGCTCTTGCCTAAGGGGCCAGTAGTCTTTTAACATCCCCACAGGCGTGGCTTCAAGTCCCTGCATGGGATGTGCCCAGTTTGCAGAACGCCATACTGTGCAAAGCTCAAAGCTCTGGTTTCTCTACCAGGTATAGAATCTGCTTATAGCTTCTCTCTGTCCAGACACTGTTCCTGTGCGGGCCGCGCTGCCAGAGGCAGTGGTTGCCTGGTAACGTGGCTGACATGCTATCGTTTGCAGGTTTCCAGGGGAACAGAGTTGGAAACCTAGCTGAAGGTCAGCTCTTCACACAGAAGAGGAAAGGGTTTGCGTAACTTTTATCTACACTTGGAGAAGAGGCAAGTGCAGTAGAAGGCGACGTAGAAGAAGCCAAGTGTCCTAAGAAGCTCATAAACTTTGGAGTCAGGGTTTGGATCTTGGCACAAAGGAGATACTTTGAAAAATGTCATTTAGAATAATTTGTATGAAGCTCTTAATGGAGAGCAGCATAAAGGAGGGGTCAGGGAAGACTTTCAGAGAAGGGCAGTGTGGTTTTAGAGTTAAAGGGTTGCTTCCCACCTCCCAGGGTGGGTGGGAAGAATCAGGGGAGGTGGGAAGATTGCTTGATGCCAGGAGTTTAAAACCAGCCTGGACAATATAATGAGAACCAGTCTGTACAAAAAATTTAAAAATCATCCAGGCGTGATGGTGCATACCTTGAGACCCACCTATTGGGGAGGCTGAAATCAGAGGATCACTTGAGCTCAGGAGTTTGAGGCTGTGATCACGCCACTGCACTCCAGCCTGCCACAGAGTGAGACCCAGATTCTTAAGAAAAAATGGTTTAAAAAATGAGTGGATGTTCCCAGGCAGAGAACAGGGAGGAGGGTGTTACTGGTGGAGGCCACCGCAGGAGTAAAAACCTGGAATCATGACCACGCCCAGGCAGACCCTGTCACTGCCTCCCAGCCCCTCCTTGCTTTCATGGTAGCCGCACACTGTCAGCCATTGCCAGGAACATTAAGGCAACAGACAAGGCCAAAAATAACCCAGGGAAAAGTTGCCCATCCACCCTGATTCTCCTCCTTGGCCCCTGCGGGACACCAGCAGAGACGGCTGGTGGGGCCAGGCCTCCAGGGCTCAGGCACCTTGCTCCAGCGTGTGGTGCCTGCGCATCCTCGTGTGCTGGCACGTGACACTTCCTGTCTTGGTTAATCCTCCTAGCACTCTGCCAGGTCAGTGATAGAGCCCCCATTTTACAGAAGAGGAAACTGAGGCTCAGAGGGGCTAGGTGCTCACCCCAGGACACACAAGAACCAAGAAACTAAGGCAGGATTTGAATTCATGTCCTTGATGCCAAAGCCCTTCAGAAGACAGACTGTCAGGAGCAGTGTGATCTGTGCTGAGACAGAGGGGGACGCTGTATACCTGTGAGAGCCCAGGAGACCCTGAACCTGGCCTTGGAGAATCTGGGGAGGGTTCCTTGGGGAGTGGTAGCAGAGGTGAGGAGCTGGTATTGTGGGAGATGGATCTGGTGGGAGGAGGTGAGTTTGAAGAGTCTGAGGGCATCAGGAGGTAGTGAATATCCAAATCTGGGCAAGAGCAAGATGATCCTGAGTCAGAGACCCACAGTTCGGGGCCTTAGGAATTGGTTTCTGAGGCTCTGGTCTGTGCCTCAGGACTTGCAGCCCATTCAGCCCTGACCCTTCTCTTTGCCATCAATGTCTTCTTATCCTTAAAAGCTCAGGTCAAGTATCATCTCCTCCAGGAAGCCTTCCCTTACTCCCCATTCTGGTCTTTATCCCTCCTTCAATGTGGAGACCCAGTGGGTGTATGTGACTAAAAGCTAGAGCATTGAGGATGGGTGACCACCTCACTCAGGTCAAAGAGGGTACCTGCTTCTTTCAGGCTTTGGGGAACCGGGAAGGATTTTGCCTCACCTCATTTGGGAGATGAGGTGAGGAGGGCGCTGTGCAGGAGGGCTCCTGTCTGTGTGAGTTTGTATAGTGCCTGAGTTCGGCTGCAGTTCAGGTGAGCTGGGGCTCAGTAGGTTTCAGTCTCGGCTCTGTTGCTTAGTGATGCCCAACTTTTGTTCTGTTCCCAGCCTGCCTTCTTCCAAGGAAGAGGAGTCATTGCTGCCATCATTGTCATCCCCTCCCCAGCCAGAGCCTAAGGAGCCCCTGTCCCCCCTCCCCCAGGCGCCTCCCCACTCCCCGTCTCCACCTCCCTGTCCCCCGGAGATACCTCCGAAGCCGGTACGCCTGTTCCCGGAGTTTGGTGAGTGCTACAGCCAGGGGATGTGGGTCTAGGGAGGGCCGGGGATCTCTTGGATCAGGCCCCTGGAGGGCATGCAAGGATCACACTCCTTTCTGTGCAGCCCTGCCACCAGCCCCCTGCGTGGCCATGGGCAGGCCACAGCTCCCTGAGCGCCATTCTCTTCATCCTCACGATGGAGACAGCACCCACCTGTCCCACCTCCTGACTGTTAAGTGTGGGGCCATGGCTGGCTTTGTCCATGGTCTGATTTCCATGGTGTTGGGTGGTTTGCTTTTCCTGGGGTTGGCCGCATTTCTCACTTTGTGTTGCCCTTTTAGCATGTTTTGGGCAGTCCTTAGCCCGACCCCTAACCTCACTCCTTGGCCACCCCTTAGTGCTGTCTTATGAGGCCTGAGGGTATAAATAGCACTTCCTATCCCCTGCACCTTTTCCTGAAAGCCAGGGAGAGGTAGAGGCGGGGGTCTTGGCCTGGGGGAGGCTTTGTGAAGCCCAGTGTGGTACCCCAGGAGAGGAGGCCAGGCCCCTTGCACTGAGTCCCCCCAAACCCTCTCTTACCAGATGACTCTGACTACGATGAGGTCCCAGAGGAGGGGCCAGGGGCCCCAGCCAGAGTGATGACCAAGAAGGTGGGACTGGGCATAGGGCTGTCTGCCTGTCAGTGTGTATGTAGGGTGCCCAGCTGCCTGTCAGACCCTGGGGACCACCAGACAGAGAGTGGGCAGCCATTTCCTGGGAGGTTTCTCCTTCTCCCACTTCACTCTCTTGTCATACAGGGGTCAGGAGTCACATACAGCCGCAGTGCCCTGGGCCAGGGGTCAGGGCTCTGGTGTGGCTCCCCCAGGCCCTGGCTGCATGGGGGTGGGCACGTGGCCCCCACCCCCTCTGCTTTGGGAGTGTGTGTGTCCTGTCCTGGAGTGTCTGTCTCTGTTTCACTTCTTGCATTCCTCTGTCTGTCTGTCTTGCCTCTCTAGCCCTCAGTCTTTTTCTCTGTTCCTTCATCTTTCTGTTTTTGTCTGTGTCCTAGGTCCGTGTCTGCCACTGGCTCTCCTGTCCCTGTGATCTGGGTCCCTGTGTGATCTCGGCTGGCAGGGGGAGGGGAATGTGAGGAAACAGAACTAAAAGTGCTGAGCTGTGTGGGTTTGGGCTGTGAGGACAGAGGGGGCGTGGCAGCCCCTGGGTGGGTGTGATCTGGGGCTTGAAGGGAAGGATGACGCTGAGTGGGTCTTGGGGGCAGGAGGAGCCCCCACCGAGCCGAATCCCACGGGCCGTGCGCGTGGCCAGTCTGCTGAGCGAGGGGGAGGAACTGTCTGGGGACGACCAAGGGGATGAGGATGAGGATGACCACGACTATGAGGGCGTCCCCAAGTGAGTGTCTGGCCACCCTCCTTCCCATGGCCCAGCCCATCCCCAGCCCTCCCCCTCCTCGCTTCCTCAGCCGGGCCCCCATCCCCTTCTCCCTCGCTAGTGGCGGATGGCACACCAGCAGCCTGAGCTTGCCCTTGCCCAGACCGGTCGCTGCACCACACCCCATGGACGGGCCGCCTGGGGGCGCCACCCCCGTCACACCAGTCATCAAGGCCGGCTGGCTGGATAAGAACCCTCCTCAGGGGTGAGTGAGACCTCTTGGTTCCTGCTGTGCTCTGCATGGGGGCAAGCAGTGTCCAGGACTCCAGGACACTGGTATCACAGATCTGAAAACCAGAAGGGCCTGAGATGATTTGCACAGGTCTCCCTCCAGGCAGACTGTGACCACTGATGAGTCCCTCCAGACCTATTTTATTGCCCTGAAAATGGGGAAATAGCTGAGCATGATGGCTCATGCCTATAATCTCAGCTGTTTGGGATGCTAAGGTAGGAGGTTTGCTTGAAGCCAGGAGTTTGAGACCACTCTGGGCAACATGGCGAGACCTTGTCTCTACAAATAAATTTAAAAATTAGCTGGGTGCAGTGGCTCATGCCTGTAGTTTTAGCTACTTGGGAGACTGAGGTGGGAGAAGAACTTGAGCCCAGGTATCTGAGGCTGCAGTGAGCTAGGCCTGTACTACTGCATTCCAGCCTGTGTGGCAAAGTGAGATTCTGTCTCAAAAAAAAAAAGGGATGTGCTGCTATGAGACTGACTTCAGTCACTCTTGCTGTAGATAAAGTCCATCTTCTTGCCAGTGGCCATTTGAGATCCTTCCTCCCTAGAACCTGGCTGATCCTCACACTGAGTGTGGCTTCCGAGGGCTGGGGTGGTCCTGGAACCTGTCTTCCTTTCCCCATCTTTTGCCTGTTGTCCCTCTGCCTCTCCAGATCTTACATCTATCAGAAGCGGTGGGTGAGACTGGATGCTGATCACCTGCGATACTTTGACAGTAACAAGGTAAGGCCTGCATCAGTCCCTGACACGAACCCTACTCCAGCCTAGGCTAGACCCCAGACTGGAGCGAGGGGGTGTCCCTTCCCAGAGCAATCCTCACCAGAGCTTTCGTCTGACCCCTTGACCCGTGTCATCCTGGCCAGGGCTGCCGAGGAATGTAGTCAGGGTCAGCACAGGTCAGGCTGCTGGTGTGCCATGTAGTCTCTGATCAGCTGCAGGAGATAGGGCTGCAGCCTTCATTTCAGCTAAGGCCGGGGGAGCCAGCAAGGAGGTGCTGGACCCCAAAATACAGCTCCTGTCTCTCCCCCAGGATGCTTACTCTAAGCGCTTTATCTCTGTGGCGTGCATCTCCCGTGTGGCTGCCATCGGGGACCAGAAGTTTGAAGTGATCACAAACAACCGGACCTTTGCCTTCCGGGCAGAGAGTGATGGTGGGGAGTGTGGGATGTTTTGTGTGTGGAAATGGGGAGAGAAGACTGGAAGTTTGGCTAGAGGAGGGGGAGGAGAAGCCCTGCTCATCTGCCCTCTCGCATCACATTCGGGGAGGCATGGTCCCTTTGTGAGGTGGATGGAGGAAGGGGGCACCCCCCGTGACCGGCCCACTGCTTGGCACGGTCACTGAGTCCTCGGAACCTCGTGATCCCATTTACAGCAGGAGCAGGCTTGAAGGGGTGAAGTCACTTGCCCAGCATCAGTGGCATAGCTGGGATTGGAGCCTGAGCTCATTCAAGTCAGAGAAGTCAAGCAAAGTGATGGGGGGCAATCTGGGTGGGCTTTCTGGCAGAAGTGCTGCCTGAGGAGCCTAGGGCCAGGAGACCCCTGAGGGTCGCCCTGCCAGGCCCACCTTGAGCTTGCTCCTCCACCCTTCTCCTGCAGTGGAGCGGAAGGAGTGGATGCAGGCCCTGCAGCAGGCCATGGCTGAGCAGCGTGCTCGGGCACGACTGTCTAGTGCTTATCTGCTTGGAGTTCCAGGCTCAGAGCAGCCTGACCGTGCTGGCAGCCTGGAGCTGCGTGGCTTCAAGAATAAGCTGTATGTGGCCGTGGTCGGGGACAAAGTGCAGCTCTACAAGAATCGAGAGGTGCTAAGGGGCCTTGGAACCTCTCCCCTGCCCATGCCCCCCCTATCCTGCCCTCTCTCCCTGTCCCAGGCCCACCTGGGGCCTGAGCCCTGCCTTTTCTGTTCCCTCTTTTCCTACACTGAGCCCAGCCCTTTGCCTGGATGCGTCCTTACTCCCCACAGTACTGACTGCTTCCCCCCGGCTCTGAGCAGTGCCCTCCAATCCCTGACCTGACTCCTGCGCCCGTGCACCTCTGCTCATTGCTATGTGGGCCCTGAACCCACAGCCTTTTACTCTGCCCAGCTTCCATGTCCTCTCCTGGGCACCCTCCAGTCCCTGAGTTGCACCACCTTCCCTTCCTCTCCCCTCCCAAGCCTCCTGCCCTGCCCCCAAAGCCCTGCCCTCATCCCTTCCTGCCTACTCTCCAGGAGTACCAGCTGGGCATTGGCATCACCTTCATCGACATGAGCGTGGGCAACGTGAAGGAAGTGGACCGGCGCAGCTTCGACCTCACCACACCCTACCGCATCTTCAGGTGACCCTCTCTCCCCTTGGCTCACCAGTGCCCTCACTCCTTCCTGATGTTTTCCTTTTGTGCAATGTGGGAAGCTGTCCCTTCTTGTGGGATGGGCTCCCTCTCCCTGCCCAGCCCTGCACAGCCCCTCTCCTGTTGCTCACTAACCTGCTCTGATCTCCCTCCCTTCTAAGAGGTCTCTCTCTCCCTGTGCCACTTGGTCACTGCTGTCCTCCCCTGCCTGCCACGCTGCTCGGGGGTTGCCTGTGCTGGCCTCCTGCACTCACTGCCCCTGCGCCTGCGCCACCCCTGGAGAGTGCTCTTGTCTCTCATGAGGGGCCCCTCAGTCTCTGGACCCCCAAGGTTCTGCCATCTCGGTTTCCTCTGACCTCAGCTGTCCCTCGGTGTCTTTCTCTGTCCTCTGCCCTCTCCCCGGGCAGCCTTGCGCACTCCTAGTCCTTCAGCTGTTACCTCTGAGGCATTGAAGTGTGCCTGGCTTCTAATCCTGGGTCCACCAGTGACTAGCTGTGTGATCTGGGACATCACCTGTCCTGTGTGTGCCTCAGTTTCCTGAGGAAGTCTTTGTAACACTGAGTAGTAACTGCTCAATAAATACCAGCATCACCCCGCTCCCTCCCAGCTCTCTGCTCTTAGCCCAGGTTTCTGTCTCCAGTGGGATCTTGCTGCTGAGCTCTGGCCTGCTTGTCTGACAGCTATGGCCATCTCCTTTCAGCAACCCGTTCCTCCTAGGTGCCTGTCTCTCCAACCAAGAGGGAAGGGCCCGTGCCTTTCCTTTTTACCCCAATGTGGCCCCATCCCTCTGCTGTCACCATTCTGGCCTTGGCCTAGTGGGCCCTTGGCCCCACTGCCTATTCGGGCTGCCCATGCCTGTCCATCCTCTTTACTCCAACTACTCTGACTGCCACGGGGGCCTTATTTTTCCTTCGTCTTGAGATGAAGTCTCACTCTGTCACCCAGGCTGGAGTACAGTGGCATGATCTCAGCTCACTGCAACCTCCACCTCCTGGGTTCAAGCAATTCTCCTGCCTCAGCCTCCAAAGTAGCTGGGATTACAGGTGCGTGCCACCATGCCCTGCTAGTTTTTGTGTTTTTAGTAGAGATGGGGTTTTACCATATTGGCCAGGCTGGTCTTGAACTCCTGACCTCATGATTTGCCCACGTCAGCCTCCGGAAGTGCTGGGATTATAGGCGTGAGCCACCACGCCCAGCCGAGAGCTAAGTTTTTATTTGCTCATTTCTTGCATTTGAAGTTCTCTTTGATGACATCCTTGGCCTGAAATTCTTTGCCATAGTCCTTAACTACCACACAGCCACAGCCCCGCCTGATGGGCGTTCTCTGATTGTCAGTCTGAGAGGCCTGCCTGCCTGTTTCTGGGTTTCTTGTTGCCCCAACGCTAAAGAGGTAGGCTTGGTGTTCTGCACAAAGGGCCTCCCCCAGCTGGCATGAGTGGCTCATTGCACTCGGGCGCAAGCACAGGAAGGCGAGCTTGGCAGTTGGCTCTGCCTTTGGCAGCTTTGCGAATTCCACATGCGAGGCTGTGGAGGAGGAGGTCTCTAGCACCTCCGTAAAGTGGTGTTCACAGCCATCACACCTCCAGCTGCAGTGCCTTCCTTGGTTGTGGCAATGGCTTATGGGTCAAGTGGACTCAGGGTCACATGTGTGACTTGGTGGTGGCAGGGAAAGAGCCAGAGGGGTCTTTAAAAAAAAACACACACACACAACTTTTTAGGGACAGTTGTCCATTTGTTGTTCAGCCAGGGCCTCCCACCCTGAAGAGCAGGGCATGCTGTGGTGGCCACAGGTGTCTGGGTATGTTGGGCCAGTGGAGTTCTTTGTGTAGTGGGGTCATGGAGCATGTCACAGTTGGGCTGGGATAGGAATGAGGATGGGAATGGTGGAGGGGTCTTTTAAAGACATCTCTGTACCCTCCCCTCCTTCCCACTGAAACCCTCTGTGGGTTCTCCGTTGGTTGTTCTCAGCATGTACTTCCTCTGCCTGGTGCAGTCCTGTCCCTTGTCCGCCTCCCAGCCTCTTCTCTGCCAGTCTGCCCTCCTGTCTGCAGGTCCAGGAATGCCCCATGTGCCATCCTGCCCCTTTGTACATGCTGCTCCTTCTGTTTAGAATGCCTTTCCATCTCTGCACCTGGCTCAGCCCTTCTGATCTGTCCAGTCTTAGCTCAGGCATCATTTTCTTCCCAGCAGCCTTCATTCCCCGGGCTGGGCAGAGCCCCCCACTGGGCTCCTCTGCCCCCATATGCTCTCAGGTTCCTGGTGTCCTTGCCTTTGTCCACGGCTACCTTCCCTACCAGACCTGGGATGCCTCCCTCTTCTGCCTAAGTGCTCCCAACACCTTGTTCCTCACTTCATTCTGTACCTCCTCATGCTGCCCCCAAATCCCTCTTGAGTCCAACCCCACCAACCTCCCCACTCCTGTGTCCCCAGCTTCTCTGCTGACTCGGAGCTAGAGAAGGAGCAGTGGCTGGAGGCCATGCAGGGAGCCATCGCTGAGGCCCTGTCTACCTCGGAGGTGGCCGAGCGCATCTGGGCTGCAGCCCCCAACAGGTTCTGTGCTGACTGTGGGGCTGCCCAGCCTGACTGGGCCTCCATCAACCTCTGTGTTGTCATCTGCAAGCGCTGTGCAGGTGTGTGCTTGGGGGTCAGGGCACCAGTCAGAGGCATGGCGGGGCTGGCCAGTTGGGATGGCAGATGTCCTATCTGGCAGGAGGGCCTAGAGCGGAGACAGCAGTCAGAGAGCTGCTGTTGATGAGGCTTCTTCTGTACACCAGGCCTTTCCCCTGTAATTAGCCTTGAGTCCTTACATTGCCAGGCTGGGTTCAACTTCTCCCATCATGAGTGGGGACATGGAGGCACAGGGAGGGGAAATGGCTTGTTCAGAGTCACCTGGCAAGTAAGTGAGCCCAGATTTGAGCCCAGTCTTGTTGGGGTCCAGTGTTCCTCTCACGTCAGAGGAATAAGGGTAGCCTAGCAAGAGGAGCTGGCAGGGGCCAGGCCAGGCAGGGCTTTGCATGCAGAGGGAGGAGCTGGTATTTTGTCTGGAGGGGGACAGGAGGCAGGGATGTGGTCAGATTTGTTGGTCAGAACCTGGCTGGTGGGTGGAAGCTGAGTTAGAGGGGGCGAGGCTGGAGACCAGTGAGGAGGCTGCCATAGGATCCAGGAGAGGGAGGAGGAGGAAGCCTGGCCTGGGGAAGCTGTGAGCATTTGAGGGCTGTTTAGGATCTGTGGTGGAAAACTCACAATGACCGACTGGATGAGGAAGATGAAATGCAAGAGGGTCGAGCCCAAGGTTCATTCATCTGCTCAATCAAGGGTCCACTGCGTGCCAGTCACTGCCAGATGCTGGGGATTTGGTCCTCCTGAGAGCTGACATAGTCTACGTGGCAGCTGTAGGTGGCTGGAGGTGGGGATCCAGGTGGAGGAGCAAGTCTGGGGAAGTGTGCTGGGGAGGCCCTCTCTGAGGAGGTGACATGCCAGCTGAGATCTAATGGCAGGAAGGAGTGGCCATGGGGACATGGGTGATGAGAGTCTGGGTAGAAAGATGATGGAGGGGAAGCAGGTATGGAGTTGTGATCTAATTCTGGGAGCCACTGGAGGGTGAAAGCAGGGATTGGAAGTCAGGGATTTGCAATTTAAAGAGATCACCTCTGGTGGGGCTGTGCTAGTGTGGCCTGTAAGAGGCCAAGCATGGTTCCAGGAAGCCAGGTGCAGGAGACTGGTGCAGGAGCCCAGGTGAGGATTACAGGGCTCAGTCCTGCCCTGCGGGGAGCAAGAGTGGCCAGCTGAATTCCAGAGCTGCCAATAGGCCCATCCACTAGGGCCTGCCTGTGGCCTATCATCCCTGTGTGTCCCAGTGGACAGTGGGGCTGGGTGAGTGCTCCTGTGAAGGGGAGGGCCGAGGTGATTCCAGGTCTGGCCGTGTGTCTACAGGAGAGCACCGTGGCCTGGGTGCTGGCATCTCCAAGGTGCGGAGCCTGAAGATGGACAGGAAGGTGTGGACAGAAACACTTATCCAGGTGGGGACGCCCCTACTTGCCACCCGTACTTGGGGTCTGCCCCATTCAACAGCTGCCTGGGTTTCCCAGCCCCCTCCCTATCTCACTGACCATGGCACCTTGGAGCTGGAAGAGACCCTTTGTGATAATCTAGTGGGCGGGGATTTGGAAAAAGCAATTTTTGGCAAAGTCAGCAAACTAACCAGTGAACTAAGAATGTTTTTATATTTTTAAAGTGTTGTATTTAAAAAAAAAAAAAAGGAAGAAAATGCAGCAGAGACTGTATATGTTTAAAGAACCTAAAATATTTACTATTTGGCCCTTGAGAGAAAGAATTTGCTGACCCCTGATCTAATTTAACTTTTATCCATTGAAAGGTCCTAGGCAGGGCTGTAATCTGCCTGAGATTACCCAGTAAATGCATATTGACCACCACCCCGGCCTCTTTCCATCCCACTTCCTGGCCGACCCAGGGACTTCTCCGTTACCTTGCACACCCCCTCAGAGGTTCTCAGCCTTCATTTCATCTGAACTCACGTGCACCAGTGGGTATATGTGCGTGTGCTTTGCGTGCACACATGTGTACATTTATGCCCCTGTACTGGAAACTCCCAGGTACCAATATGTAGTAGATACAGGGGAGAACTTGCAATGGGAGACTAGACCCAGGCTGCAGACTCCAGAGCACTTGGGGTGTCACACCCGTTTCCCACCTCCGCATGGTGTGTTTGGCACATAAGTACTAAGGACTTTGTATATGTTAATTAACTGACTTTCCAAACAAGCCAGGAGTTAGGATTAGATTAACCAGTATACAGACTTCGAAGCTCAGGGAGAGAAGGTAACTTGCTGGAAAACACAGTAGTGGCAGGGACTGTTCTGCTTTGTTCTATGCTGTGACCCCAGCACCCCAAACAGGATCTGACAAAGAGTCATGGTGGGGGGCCCAATGGCTGTGGAATGAGGAGCCGGATGAAGGAAGGAACTGATTCCCTGAATGCTGGATCCCTGCACTCATCCATAATCCGCCCCCAATCCTTCTTGCCCAGAGAGGAATGTCAGGGGCAGGAGAGGTTTCGGAAATCCCTGCCCACTCCATTGGCTGACAGGTTAGGCACCCCCAGTTATCATAGCATCAGAAATGCAGAGCCCCAGATGTGGAACTGGATGGGGCAGCAGCAAGTCCCCTGGGACCAGGTGCAGGGCCTGAGGTATCCACCTGTCAGGCTGCCGACCTACTGGGACCTAGGCTCTGAGCCCAGTGCTGGTGGTGGGAGCATCCTCAGCCAATAGCAGGCCAGGCCATCCTCACCTTCCCTGTTGGGAAAGTGGGCAGATGGCCTGGCTCTCCCAGCCCCATGCCTAACAACCCCAGAAACCAAGTTTTTGCCTGGCACAGCCCCTGGCTGTCAGCTGCCGCCCTGACCTCTTGCCCACCCCCGCAGCTCTTCTTACAGCTGGGTAATGGTGCTGGGAACCGCTTCTGGGCAGCCAACGTGCCCCCCAGTGAGGCCCTACAGCCCAGCAGCAGCCCCAGCACCCGGCGGCGCCACCTGGAGGCCAAGTACCGTGAGGGCAAGTACCGCCGCTACCACCCACTCTTTGGCAACCAGGAGGAGCTGGACAAGGTCAGGGTACTGTAGCTCTGGGGCCCCTTGGGACCACCCACTGTCTTTCTGCTGCCCTGTTCCTCATGCTGTCATAACCCGTCTCATCTACCAGCTCAGGGAGCTGCTTTGGCATATGGGGAAACTGAGGTTTGGAGGGCAGGAGGGCCCTGGCTAAGCCATATGAAAAGTTCTGGCCATGCAGGGAGGAGCTAGGCCTGACCCTTGGGCCAAGGCTACGTCCCCAGCATCTGTCTGTCTCCCTCCCGATTCCTCAGTCTCCCGCATCCTGTCCTGTTGCTTCTGAATCCTGCCAAAAGGAGTGAACTTGATGGGGATGCTATTTCCTGTCAGGCTCATGAAAAACAGCTGGGCTCCTCTGACCCACCCCCATCCACACCCCACTCAAGATGAGGCTCCATATGGGCCCCAGGCCCTGACAGGCTGGGAGCCAAGCCTTAGGCCCTGATCTAGCTGGGCCTGAGTGGGAGGCATCCAGCTCCAAAGCAGGGGTATGCCATTTGTGACCTCTGGCTGGCCTTCAGCCCCTCCCCCAAATTGCCCCTCCCAGGCAGACTCAGTCCAGCTAGAAGCCTAGTGGGAGCCAGGCCTCCACCTCCCAGGGACCCAAGCGTCCTGCTCCCAGCCCAACCCAGTCTAGCCTGCAAGCCAGGATGGCGGCAACTCCCATTGGTTGGGAGGGCTGGGCAGGCGGTGAGGAATTCAAATGTGGGAGGAATTAGCTACAAAGCACCCCCCTGCTCCCCCACAAGGCAGAGGGAGCTTGAGATCCTCTGGAGGCTCCGTGGCTGACTGGGCAGCTGTGTCCAGGCCGCCAGCAGGGGTGAGGCCCCCGGCAGCTGGGACCCCCTGGCCTCTGCTAGGCAGCTCCTGCTCGCCCCTCCTCCCCTTGGCCTCTCTCCTCCCTCTCTCCTTCTCTCTTTTTTCCTTCCTGTTCTCTCTTTCAGTCTGAGGATGGACTGCTCCAGGCCTGGGTGGCTCCTTTCTCTTCTTTCCTCTCCTCCCCGACACCCGATTTCCCTGTGGGCCCCCGACTCCTTGGGCTGACCCTCCCCTGCCTCTTCCTAGGCCTTGTGTGCTGCAGTGACCACCACAGACCTGGCTGAAACCCAGGCACTCCTGGGCTGTGGGGCTGGGATCAGCTGCTTCTCAGGGGACCCTGAGGCCCCCACGCCCCTGGCTCTTGCAGAGCAGGCGGGGCAGACACTGCAGATGGAATTTCTTCGGAACAACCGGACCACAGGTGAGCATGGCAGAGGATGGGGTCCACCAGGCTGTGGGTGTCCAGCGGGGTTTGATTTGCATGCAGCTTTCAGGGTGTGATTGCAGCTCCTCAAGGGCCCATGGTACAATCGTGTGTGAGCTGGGATGTGCTTGGGTTTGCATGTCAGTGTGTATTTGTGCTTCATATGCATGTTCCTCCGTGTCTCTGTCTCTGTGACTCTGTTGATGACTTTCCTGACTTGCAGTGTGGGCATCTCAGGATGGCTGGTGGCTGCGCTGGTGCTTGTGTACCTCTGAGCCGCGCTGGATCTGTGTTTCTGGGGATGTTGAGGGCTTTAGAGAGCGTGTGCGTGTGCAGAGTGTGTCTGTGTTGCTGCCTGTGGGGTGTTGTGTTAAATTTTCCATGTGTGGGTCACCTACCATGGCAGCACTGTCCGCTGCTCTGCCTGGGTGGAGCTCAATCCTAGACCTGGTTTGGGTACCACTGGCTCCCTCTTGGGGTGGGTGAGGAGGGAGCCGTGGGCTGAACAGTGCAGTTTGTGGCCCAGGCCTGGCCTCCGGGGCCATATCCCAGGACTAAGGGTGGAGCTCAGTGGCTGGGGCTCTGGGCTTAGGGCCATGGGTGGGCGGGGTGCACTGGGCTGAAGAGGTGTCCAGGGAGACACAGGAGACCACCCAGCTGGCTTGGGCTTGGGGGCAGAACCTCCCTGGCTGAGCTGGGGAGCAGGGCTGTAGTCAGGCCGCCACCTTGAGCCCCCTGCCGTCTGGGACAAGCCTCTTTCCAGGGATTATTACTGAGTTTGCCCAATGCCCCTCTGATGCCAGTGTGCCTGGCCTGTGCCTCCAACCTGGAGAGTGGGGTGGGCCGGAAGTCAGGGAGGCTTCCCGGAAGGGGAGGTACTGGAGCTGGGCCTTGGGAACGGAGTGAATTTCCACAAGGGAGAGGTGGAGAAACAGCCTGGGCAAGACCCTGGAGATAGGAGGGGGAGCTTGAGGCTGCCAGTTAGGGAGCTGGGGCTGGTGATTCGAAAGTGAGCCTGGATGCCCAGCCCAGGTGGGAGTGAGGTGCGGACAGCCCCTTGGTTGTCCAGCATGACCTGCCATCCTTTCCTTGCCTCCAAAGAGGTGCCTCGGCTGGACTCTATGAAGCCCCTGGAAAAGCACTACTCAGTTGTTCTGCCGACCGTGAGCCACAGTGGCTTCCTCTACAAGACGGCCTCTGCCGGCAAGCTGCTGCAGGACCGCCGGGCCCGGGAAGGTGGGTGCCGCCCCAGACCCTGCACTGGCCTATGGCATCTGTGCGTGGAAACTGCAGGGCCAGGGAAGCCAGGGATGGCCAGACTGGTGGACCTGTGAAGCAGCCAAGTGGACTCTGGCAGAGTCACCTGAGAAGGCTTCCTGCATATAGTCTGTGGTAGACAGTAGGTGCTTCATAAAGGATCCTGGTGGGAATAGGGGTGGGGCATGGCACTGCAGAGCAGGTCACTGCCAGAGTTTCTTTGGACTAAAAGAATCTTTATTGAGCCCCTACTGGGTATGGGCTCTGCTAAGCATCTGGTAGTTAAAGCCTGTGGTGGTAGAGAGTTGAGGACTGAATGGAAAGCCCTATCCCTCTCTGATCTCAGCCTGCTGTTCACTTCCCAACTCAGAAGAAAATCCACCACTTCCATGACCTCTCTGACCCAACCCCCGAATCACTCTGCCCCAGCTCTGCTGGTCTCCTCACTGTTTCTCAGACATGCCATGTCACCCACAGAATCTTTGCTCTTCCCTATGGCTGAAATGCTTTCCCCCAGATATCTGCACAGCCAGTCCCTTACTTCCGTCAGGCCTCTGTTTCTGCATCACTACTGCAGAGATATTATCCCCGACTACTTTATGCAAAACAGCACCCCCATCTGTCCCTTTACCCTAAATTTTCTTCACACCACTTACCTGGTATTCATTTGCCCATGAATGTATATATCTATAGATTCTCTTCTTTTTGGCCACCACTGCCTGTAGCCCCCAGCGCCTAGAAGAGTGGCTAGCACACAGCGGGCATTCTGCAGAATGAAGGGTGACTGAGGCAGAGCTGGTGCTCCTAGAGGGAGCCCATCTGTGGGGACAGGCCGGGGGACACATTGCCTCAAAGGGCAAATGTCAGGCCCTCATAGATGGGATGAGAGGCACAGGCTACTCTGGGAGCATTGTGAGATAGGTCATTGCTGACAACGTCCCTCAGCACCTCCTGCATGCTCTTCTCTGGGGATGAAGCCCTCCAACTCCCAAAGAGGTTCTTTGGAACTCCATGCTGTTCACAGCCTCATTGCTCCAGGTCTGCCCTCTCTGCCTGATAATATCATTTATGTAACTGCCTGAGTCATCCTTTTTGCCCTGGGTGCCAGGAAGCTCTGAGCCACTGTAAAGCTCAGTGCTGTGAACTGTACAAGCCTGTATGGCCATGACATTCTATTCTTTCCATTCCCTTTTCTGGTCCAGATTCCCATTTCTGTTTCTTTTATGGGACTTTGTCAGTCTCTCAGAGCCATTGTAGGAGGAGGCAGAGTAGAGAGTGATGGGTGCTTCTGGAAAAGGAGGTTGGGGCATAGAAGCCTTCTGTGACATTTAGGTGGTGGGTGGAGGGGACAGGGTTTGCAAAAGCTGGGAGTGCTGGGTGGGGATGTGTGTGTCCAGCAGTGACAGAGAGGCAGCTGGAGAGATGGGCAGGGGTAGACCTGGCAGGGCCTTGAATGGCAGGCTGAGGGGCGTGGAGTCTGTCCTGAGGACCATGGAATGGTTTTGGTTAGAGGAAGGAGGGAGTCTGATTTTAGCTAGATCACTGGGATTTTGGAAGTGGCTGCTTCAGAGGCCTGGGGGAGAGGATGACTTTGGGCTGGCTGGCATGGTGGGGTTGCAGAGAGGTGGATGGATTTGGGAGAAACTTGAGAGAATGAAGAGCACATGCATCAGATGGGAGGGGGAGCCCTGGGAGGATACAGAGGTGCTTTTCAGGTGGTGATGGGGCTCCCTGATGGCTCCCCTGCCCAAATTCTCCCCAGAGTTCAGCCGGCGCTGGTGTGTCCTTAGTGACGGAGTCCTGAGCTACTATGAGAATGAGCGGGCAGTGACCCCCAATGGAGAGATTCGGGCCAGCGAGATTGTGTGCCTGGCAGTGCCCCCTCCCGACACCCACGGGTGAGTACCCCTGGGCAAATCACAGACTGCGGTTGCTACAGGGTACAATCCCCCACTGGGGAGACAGGGAAATAGGCTCAGAGAAGGGGAGAACCTCCCCAGGGTCACACAGCAAACTGAGGCTGCACAAGGCCAAACCCGGTCCCTTGAGGCTCCAGCCCAAGACTTTTCCACTACCCCTTGGGGGCCAGAGTAAGGACAAGCGCTATGGCAGTGTGGAGGGGGCAGAGGATGGTGGTTGATGGTGGGGGCTGAGGGTGGGCTGGTGCTGGATGGGGTGGGCCTGAGTTCTGGCCTGTGTATTTGCAGCTTTGAGCACACCTTTGAGGTATACACAGAGGGAGAACGGCTGTACCTGTTTGGTCTGGAGAGTGCAGAGCAGGCTCATGAGTGGGTCAAGTGCATTGCTAAGGTGGGCCTGGGGTAGCAGGATGGGTGTAAGGGTGGGTGACAGGGGAAGGTGGGGCTTCCTGGCCAATCCCATGTATCCCAGATCCCTGTTCAGGGAGCAGAAGCTAGATGGAGGGCAGCAGACATGGGGCAGGCCTGTCCCACCAAGGGCCTAGTGTGATCTGCAGCCCGGGTTGGTCAGACCTATCTTAGCTCTGCAGAAGAAGGGCTGTGAGCCTTGAACTTCATAGGTGCTCAATAAGTGTTTAACAGTGAGTGACAGAGCCATCTTAGGATGGACAGTGCCACCTCCAGGGCAGTGTGCTCCTTGTTCCTGGAGGGGAGCAAGCAGAGGCTGGAGGGAAGAGGCAGGGAGGCCATAGGGGAGAGCTCTGCTGCAGGAACTAGTCAGGTGCCTGTGGGGTCCCCTGTGCTGTGACAGCCTCTGACTTTTTATCATTCACTTGTCCATTGATTAGTTGTCTTGTGAGCCTCCTGAGAGTCAGCCCTCGGAGACCTGGGGACCCAGATGAACCAGGCTTAGTCCTAGCTCTTCAGTAGCTCCCACATGGGTCAGGGAGACAGCTCGCATATGGGTGGGGTTCAGGTGACATCAACAGTATAACCAGTGCCACAACAGAGGGCAAGAATGCTTTGGTGCTGTGAGGGCCCAGAGAAGAGTTCTCCTGAAGGTGTCTGGGAAGCCTTTCCAGAGGCGGGTACATCTGAGTGGGTATGAAGTGGGGCATGGTACCCAAGTTCCATCACTGGGCTGGGTTCTGCCCTGGGGAAGAGAAGGGAAGGCAGCTGGGTGGGAAGAGAGCACCTGCTTGCAAGCCATGGAGCTAGGGCATAGGGCCAGCAGTGTTGTTGGCTGATGCTATCCCTTCCCTCCCCCGCCCGGCTGCCTCCCCGCCAGGCATTTGTGCCTCCCTTGGCCGAGGATCTGCTGGCCCGCGATTTTGAGCGCCTCGGACGCCTACCCTACAAAGCTGGCCTGAGCCTGCAGCGGGCCCAAGAGGGCTGGTTCTCTCTCAGTGGCTCAGAGCTCCGAGCTGTCTTCCCCGAGGGGCCCTGTGAAGAGCCGCTGCAACTACGGAAACTGCAGGAGCTTTGTGCGTGGACCAGACCTGGGCCCCCCGCCTCCAGGGCACCCTTTCCTGGGCTCCCAGGCCCCCAGCCCTAGCCTGGAAGTCTGAGCTCTGCCTGGCCTTGGCCAGAGCCGTCAGTCTTCCCTTTCATTTCCTCTACCCTTGGGGTACATCTCAGCTACCCTATACATTGGCGGGTGGGTCCCAGGGGTGTGTGTGTGCCCAGAGAGAGGGAGGGAGGGAGCAGGTTGGGGATCAGGAACAAGACCTGGACCTCACCTTGACTGACCCCCTCCACAGCCATCCAGGGGGACAGCGAGAACCAGGTGCTGGTGCTGGTGGAGCGAAGGAGGTGAGCCATGGCCTCCCTGAGAGGCTCTGAGAAACCTGGAGCAGTCTGATGGGCCTGGGGACAGGGTGGGACAGGTATAGGCCCCTCAGTGACTGATTCTCCCTGGCCCAGGACACTGTACATACAGGGCGAGCGGCGGCTAGACTTCATGGGTTGGCTGGGGGCCATCCAGAAAGCAGCCGCCAGCTTGGGGGACACGCTGTCGGAGCAGCAGCTCGGGGACTCGGATATCCCTGTCATCGTATATCGCTGTGTGGACTACATCACGCAGTGCGGTGAGCCTCGCCCCTGGGGTGCAGGCCATGCCCCTCCCGGAGAGCCGCCTTTCGCCCCAGAGCCACATGGCCCCACCCCATGACGCAATGCCTCAGGCCCCAAACGCTTCGCCCCTCCCTAGGCCTGACCTCGGAGGGCATCTACCGCAAGTGTGGGCAGACGTCGAAGACGCAGCGGCTGCTGGAGAGCCTGCGGCAGGACGCACGCTCTGTGCACCTCAAGGAGGGCGAGCAGCACGTGGATGATGTCTCCTCGGCGCTCAAGCGCTTCCTGCGCGACCTGCCCGATGGGCTCTTCACTCGCACCCAGCGTCTAGCCTGGCTGGAAGCCTCAGGTGGGCCCTGCAGCCCTTGCCCAGCTTCCTCCACCCATCCCTCCGGACTCCTGCGCCTTTCCCTTCTAGCACTTGCACTAGGCGCACCCTAACCGACAGGCTCCAGTTCCCTGCCTCTGCTCCTCATTCGCATCGCCATTCCATACAGAGCGAGGGACCCTGGAAGACTGAGAGTTCCTTACCCTGGTTGACAGCCTGGACTGCATTGACTTGGAGGGCACAGGGACTGCTGCCACCCAGCATGAGAGGCAGAGGAGCCCAGGCAGGGTGGGGGAAGATGGTTATAGGGGGTTTCTGACCTGATTTATCTTCCCCACCCAGAGATTGAGGACGAGGAAGAGAAGGTCTCCAGGTACCGAGAGCTCCTGGTGCGGCTGCCCCCTGTCAACCGGGCCACGGTGAAGGCCCTTATCAGCCACCTGTACTGGTAAGGGGCGATACCATTGTGAGACTCTGGAGGGATGGGGTGAAGGTTCTACCCCCACCCTGGCTGACTGCCCTCCCCTGGAAGCCAGCTGGGCTTTTTGCACCAAATACTGACTGTGATCTGCCCTAACATTGGACATTTGTAGAGCAGGGGTTTCCAACCCCCAGGCCACAGACCAGTACAGGTTTGTTGCCTGTTAGGAACCAGGCTGCACAGCAGGAGGTGAGTGGTGGGTGAGCAAGCATTACTGCCTGAGCTCTGCCTCCTGTCATGTCAGCCGCAGCATTAGATTCTTAAAGGATCGTAACTCTATCGTGAACTGCACATGTGAGGGATCTAGGTGGCGCGCTCCTTGTAAGAAGCAAATGCCTCTGAAACCATCCCCTGCCCCTCTGCCCCATCCTTGGAAAAATTGTCTTCCACGAAACCAGTCCCTGGTGCCAGAAATGTTGGGGACCACTGTTGTAGAGGATTTTCCCCCTTGGGGCCAGGGTACCTTGGCTGGATCTCCCAGCTTCCTAGTCCTGCTCCTTGCTAGGACACAAGACACGGCCAGAAAAACTGTTCCTACCCTGTTGGATAGTGGTCCCCTCTGAGCAGACCAGTCTTGGACCTGTCAGAAATGAGCAGGGTGAGATGGGAAACTCAGCCTGACTCCTCACTGAAGGCTCTTCTCCTCCCCTCTCCAGTGTCCAGTGCTTCTCAGACACCAACCAGATGAATGTGCACAACCTGGCAATTGTGTTTGGGCCCACGCTCTTCCAGACGGATGGGCAGGACTACAAGGCTGGCCGTGTGGTAGAAGACCTCATTAACCACTACGTGGTGGTGTTTAATGTGCGTCCCTGGCCAGTGGGCAGTGGAGGGCAGGGTGAGCCACCCAGATGGCAGAGATGGCAGTGACCCTCAGTCCCTGCCCCTCTCCCCTTCCCAGGTGGATGAGGAGGAGCTCAGGAAGCAGCGGGAGGAGATCACTGCCATTGTGAAGATGCGAGTGGCTGGCACTGCCAGTGGGACCCAGGTGAAGGATGGAGCCTGGGTGGGGGGCTTGGGCCCACCTCCTGCACCCATTTCCTAGGCCCCCAGCTGAGCCCTGTCTCCCTGCAGCATGCTGGTGACTTCATCTGCACAGTGTATCTGGAGGAGAAGAAGGCAGAGACTGAGCAGCATATCAAGGTAGCTGCTGGGACCTAGAAGCCAAGGGGCCAGAGAATCAGGCTGGGCCAGGCACAGGCTCAGATGGCCAGGGGAGCAGTGCTTCCATCCCAAGGAGAGGACCCGTTTGGGACCTGTATCTGGCTGGTGCTGTAAGAACCATTCAGAGACACCCCTCTGTATCCCAGGACTCCAGAAGGTCCTGAGAAAGATGGGCTTAGGCTCTGAATCACACAGCAAGGTTGTGGCAGAGCAGGAGCCAGGGGCAGGGAGGTTAATCTCCTTCTCCTTGGTCCCTGCAGATCCCAGCATCCATGACTGCTGAGGAGCTCACCCTGGAGATCCTGGATCGCCGGAACGTGGGCATCAGGGAGAAGGACTACTGGACCTGCTTTGAGGTCAACGAGAGGGAGGAGGCAGGTGGGTGACCCTGGGCTTGTGCAGGGTGTGGTGTGGCCTGTCTTGTCTTGTTCATGACCTGTAACCCCTGTCTGTCCTTCCCTACCCTGTACTTGAGCATGGGTGGTGAAAAGGGCTTTGATGACATGTTGCTGTCACAGTGATGAAGACTGTGATCCCTGTGACGGTAGTGATAGGGTTCTGGCAGGGATTGAGGTGATGCCTGTCATGTGGCTGATAGAAGGGACAGTGAAGGGGTAGATGGTGTTGGCCGTAACAGTGCTTTCTCAGGTGCCAGTGACAATGGTGATGGTTGGGATGAGAAAGGTATTTTGTGGTCTTGATGGCAGTGGAGGATGAGGCTGTATCTGTTCATTAATTTTACTGTATTTGTTGAGTGCCAGGCACTAGGCTGGGGAGCCACACACACAGTCCCTGTCCTTGTGGGGGTTAGTCAGTCTAAATGATCACACCAATACATGTTCAACTACAGATGCGGTAACTGTTGTGGAGGAGAGACCCATAGCATTGTCAGATCTTCCCCGAGACAGGATGGGAAGGAAGAGTAGGGGCTACTTGGTGAAGAAGGAAAAAGCTCTGTGGTGGCCCTCAAGGAGACGAGGGCAGTGAGAGGTGGTGGCATGGGTAGGGCTGGAGATCAAGGCAGAGGCAACCACGCAGGGCCTGGCAGCAATGCAAGCCCCTCGGTTAGTGAGCGGGTGTTGAAGAGGAGTGCTGCTTGCTGCTGGGTGGGGAGAGGAGGGCGAGGGAAATTGGAGCACACTTTGAAGGCCATGGTTTAGTCCAAGGAGAAGGCGGTAACATGGGCAGGGGGGCAGCAGTGGAGATGGACAGAGCAGGGAGATCCGATGCGTGGATTGGGAGAGCGAGGAGGGGTTTGTTTCTGGATTGAGCAGCCTAGCATGGGGGTGGTGGTGGTTGTAATTCTCTGATGGGGGACAAGAGGAGGGCAGGAAGGGAGTGGGGGTGGAGATCGTGGGCATGGTTTTTCACATGTTGAATTTGAGCAGCTTTGGTCACAGCCAGGTGTGTTAAGCCTGAAGTTTGGTTGTGGGACAGGTGGTCGTGATGGTGGTGTTGTGTGTCATGACACTTGCAGGCAGTTAGAGTGGACAGGGGATGTGTGGGTGATGTGCCCATGTGCCAGCCCTTGATGGCCATGTGGTCCCAGTGACGGTGGGTGTGACCTCTCCCCAGAGCGCCCCCTGCACTTCGCGGAGAAGGTACTGCCCATCTTGCACGGGCTGGGCACGGACAGCCATCTGGTGGTGAAGAAGCACCAGGCCATGGAGGCCATGTTGCTGTACCTGGGTAGGTGGTGCCGGGCTTGGGGCAGTCCCCTCTTCCAGAGCCAGGGTGGGACCTGGGCGTGCCAGGTAGGAGCAGCTCAAGCAGAGGGTGCCAGGTGGGTGGGCCTCTATGGAAAGACTGGGGCAGGATGGGGCAGTTTCCTTTATTCTGGGACCCAGCCCCGGGTAGGGGTTGTTGCAGCCTGTGCCCACTCTGGTCCCCCCCTCCCCAGCCAGCCGTGTTGGTGACACCAAGCATGGCATGATGAAGTTCCGTGAGGACCGCAGCCTTCTGGGCCTGGGCCTGCCCTCAGGCGGCTTCCACGATCGCTACTTCATCCTTAACAGCAGCTGCCTGCGGCTCTACAAGGAGGTCCGGGTAAGTGGCTCCACTGGGTTCTGCCCCAGGGTGGGCACCTGTACCCCTGAATGTGCTCAGAGAGTCCCCTTGGTCTGCAAGTGGAAATATTTCCGCTGCAGGCTCTCAGGGTAGCACAGCAGTGGGGGAGAACTGTAGACTCTTAAGACCCCTCCTGCTATGGCCCTGGATGGCCACTCTACTGTGCCCTGTAGCTCCACTAGGCCCTGGCACCCAGATGCCATCACACCACTCCACGCCCATGCTCTGTCTCACTGTGCCTGTGCTGTATCACTGCAGCCACAGGAACCTGCTACTTGATGATAGCCCCAAGTTGTGGCCCATGCATGCCTTGTCACATCATACGTCATCATATGCCTCCCAGGCCACCCTCATTCACTCACTCACTCCACGTGCAAGGTGTTCTCACAACCCAGACTCCATTTGGCACCCCCCACCTTCTGCACATTCGTGCCACACACCCCCTCCCCCCGAAGCCCCACACATCTCCACACGTGCTGTCCTGACTCTAGACCTGGGACTTCTTCCATAACCCTGATCCTCTATCAAACAGAGCCAGAGGCCATGGAGCGGGGCCCCTGAGACCGTGAGTAGCTGTGGGCTGACTGCCAGCTGCCTTACACCGCCTGGGGGCCAAGTGAGCTGGGTGGTAGCATGGGGACACAGCCCAAGCTCCTGGCCATCTGCAGGCATGGTTCCCTGCCCTCTTGCCAGTCGGCACTGTGTATTCTGTCCTGGGGCCTGGGGCCTAAGCTCCTCCCCTTTACCGCTAATCCTGTCCTAGGGTCCTTTCCCTAAGATAGGTTCCCTATCAGTGCAATGCTCTGGAATTTTCCAAAGGACTCAGTGTGGAAGTTAAAAATCTAGTAATGGTGGCACCTAGGTTTCCGTTAGAGCTCTGATCTTCATCTCCTGTCATCCCTGGAGCCACCCTATTTCCAACCCTGGACAGAGTTCCAGGACTACTGACTGGAATGTTCTTGCTACTGCCCTGACCCTGACGTGCCAGGGTGGGACGAGAGGCTTGTGGGATACCCCCACCTAGGGTAGGAGTCTCTCTGAGGCCTCCCTAGCTGGCTGTTTCTGCTCTGCACACTCCTAGGAGAGAGAGCTCATGCCCTCCTCCCTTGGGGCTGCCCTATTCCTAGGGGTGTACTTCTCCCTGGGTGAAGGCCCTTGCTCAGGTTCTGCTGAGAAATCTGCATCTCATGATGCCCCTTTGGGTCTCAGCTATGCCTTGGGGGCCACAAGCATAGATGCTCTGCAGCAGGGGTCCCCAACCCCCAGGCCACAGAGCGGTAGCTGCTTGTGGCCTGTCAGGAACAGGCCATGCAACAGGAGGTGAGCGTCGGGCGAGCGAGCATTGCCCCTGAGCCCTGCCTCCTGTCAGGTCGGCAGCAGCATTAGATTCTCATGAGAGTGCGAACCCTGCTATGAACTATGTCAGTGAGGGATCCAGGTTGTGCACTCCTTAAGAGAATCTAACGACTGAAGATCTGAAGTTTAATAGTTTCATCCCGAAACCATCCCCCTGCCCATGGAAAAATTGTCTGCGAAACTGGTCCCTGATACCAAAAAGACTGGGGACTGCTGCCCTGCAGGATGGGCAGCGGAGACAGGGTTCCAAGCCAAGTGGTCTAGCCTGAGCTCCCACAGCCACCGCCCCCCACCCCCCACCCCCAGTGTCTTCAGGCCCTTCCTGCCCCTTGCATTTCCTGAGGACACCTCAACAGGCTTGGCTGCCATGGTAGGAGCAGAACAGGTAGAGCAGGACCTCATCTCCTCTTTGCATTTTGTGCTTCTATTGATGCATCCTGGGCTCCTGCTAGCCCTGTGGGAAACGCCTTCTCTTCTCTCCTTTGCTCTCCTCTGTGATCACATCTTCACTTCGGAGCCTGTCCTCCTATCCAGTCCGCCCCTCTTGGTTCTGGGATGCTATCTCCCGGGCCCCTCCCTCTAGGAGTGCTTAGGACCCGCACTGTGGGCAGAAGGGAGGCAGGATGGCTGAGGCACCTGGAAAGGCAGCTGTGGCTCCCTGGGCATGGAAGGAAGGAGACAGGAGAGCTGGAAAAAGGGATGAGATCTAATATTCCCTAAGGAACCAGGCTTGGTGCTGGCCCCTCACATCCTGAGACATGGAATCCTTACTACTGTTCTCTGAGGAAGAGGGCTGTCCCCGCTTCTAGGTGAGAAAACAGGCTTTGCGCGACTTGCCCAAGGCCATCTGTAAGTGTAGACTGGGACTCACACCCAGGTTTCTTAGTGTGGAAATGCAAGCTTTGTATTCCTGGATGTCTCGGACTTGAGAACTCAGCAAGGAGGGGCGGCTCAGCACAGGGTGGGTGGTGCTCCCCGTGCCCCAGTGACAGCCAACACCTCTGGCTTGGCAGAGGCCCTAAGCAGGTGTGGGCTGGTTACCACATTGTTAGCAATTCTGGCATTTGTTGGTTTATGTGGCAGTAGGACAGAATGTTTGAAATTAGGACAATCCCAGGTCATTCAGGATTCAGGATCCAGGTGATTCAGGCACAGGTGATTCACTTGTGCCTTATCCTGGGGGTCTCCTCTTGTTAAAGACCCTGAGGCACCTGGAAAAGGCACATGCTAGAAAGCTCTTGGTTCCAGCAGAGATCCTTAAGCATCAAGGGTAAACTTCATTGTCCGCCAGTGACCTGGTACCAGTGACCTGGACATGCTGGAAACATGAGCTGTCTGATTAGAAATGAAGTCCTTGGGCCAGATGCAGTGGCTCATGCCTGTAATCCCAGCACTTTGGGAGGCTGAGGTGGGAGGATCTCTTGAGCCCAGGAGTTTGGGACTAGCCTGGGCAACATGGTGAAACCCTGTCTCTATAAAAATTAGCCAGACATGGTGGTGCATGCCTGTAGTCCCAGCTACTCGAGAGGCTGAAGCAGGAGGATGGCTTGATCCCATGAGGTGGGGTTGCAGTGAGCTGAGATTGCACCACTACACTCCACCTTGCGGGATTCATTCTCAAAAGGAGATTGCATTGACTGAGATCCTCTCCTCCTAAGACCCGCTTCTGCAAACTTCCTGTGTCAGCCGCCCTCACATCACACACATGCCGCGCACATCAGACCCCAAGGAATTGGAGGCCTGAGGGTTGTTTTCATTCTCGGAGACGCAGCCTGGTTTGAATGCCTTGATTCCCACAGTTTTCTCCGCTCCTGACTGGGCCAGTCCCATCTACCCTTGAGTCACTTGACTGCTTGCTGCTACTTCTGTTCCCCTCCCACCCACAGCCTGACTTCTTCCAAACCCACAGCCTGTTTTCCATCCCCTCAGCCTGATTCCTCCCGTACCTGCAGTCCAGTTTTCCCCACATCCTTCCTTCCTTCATGCCCAGAGCCTTGTGTTTTCCGTTCCTGGAGCTGAATCTCTTTTACAGCCTCTATCTCAGTCTTTCCATTTCTGCCACCAGCTGTCTTCCGGTTTGCAGGCCTTTTGCTTTGCTGCTCCCAGCCTTGCTTATTCCCTGCATGCATGCAAGTTTCTTCCTTGTATTCTCCCACATCTTGTTTCTTCCATGTCTGCAGCCTGATCCGCCCTCCCTGCGCTCCCCCCACCGCTTTCCTCCCTGTTTGCACCACTGAGTGTCCCATGCTTGCAGCCCAGTTGGTTCCAGGCCCTCCTGGGCACATGTCCATCATCAGGTTAGGTGCTATCTATAGAAGACATGGGGCTTTCCAATCGGGGTGTCGGGGTAAAAGCAGAGAGAAAAATCCTTACTAAGGCTCTCCTAAGCCACACCCCTTTGAGAGCACAGAGGTCTCCACCAGTCCCTAGGCAACCCATCCTTTTGCTATATCACAAGAAGTCCACCAGTTCCTGAAACTTCTCCCTCCCCTGGCTGTCTCTTAGTCCCTTCTCTGGCCCCTACTGAGGAGCCATGCCTGGAGGTGGCTGGGAGCCATGGTGGGGAACAGGGGAGAGGTGGCTCACTCTTTGACCCCCAGTTTCGGTTGTAAGTGAATCTCCCTCCCCTGCCATTCACTCTGGTGCCCCTGTGGGCTTCAGGGGTGCCTGGTAGGGGTAGGGCTTTAAGCAAGTGGCTCCAAGAGCAGGAGGAAGCCTTGTTAGCTTGACCTCCAACCAGCCTCTTCCTTGGGGGTCATTGCCCCCATCTCTCTGCCTCTGAGCCAGCCTGCTCCTTCCAAGCCCAGACCCATATGCCGAGGCAGGGGCCGGACGTGAATCTTTTGGCAATCTGGTGCCCCTCCTCAGTACATTGGTCTCTTCCTGACGTAGACCATTGGGAAGTTCTTCTTATGGTCTATTGAACAGCTGTTCCGCTTTAGCTGGAGTCATTAGGCTTCTCGTGGAAGCAAAGAGCTAGTAACTGCTGGTCCCTTGAGCCCTCTGTTCACACAGTCAACCCTGGAGCCTCTACAGGGCAGAGAGGGGTGAGAAATGAGTAACCTGAGATGAACACAGACACGAGCAGCCAACCGAGGCACCCTGATCACATTTGCTCATTCCAGCTTGGTGCTGGGGGAGGATGTGCAGTTGTCCCTCCATGTACAATCTAATTCAGGCCGATGCTTAAGTCAGTTTTCCAGTTTGCAGGGCAGCAGGGTGGTGCTGGGATTCGCTGTTACAGATGTCCCAGTTGGGATGGCTGCCTCGGAGACTGAGGGTTGACTGTCTGATACTGCTGCAGGGAGAGAGGCCTTGGGGGCCTAGGGCTGGGGGTTGGTTGGGCTGGATTGTGAACAGGGAGGGCTTTGTCAGGAAGGCTTCCTGAAGGAGGTGCCCTGTGCTGGGATGCAATGAGGGCTCGGGAGTGGGAGGAGGGAGGTACCCGGTGGGCAGAGTGGCCCCAGTGTCTACTCTGCAGACTAAAGTGCCCTCTTCTCCCCACCCTACCTCAGAGTCACCGGCCTGAGAAGGAGTGGCCCGTCAAGAGTCTCAAAGTCTACCTGGGAGTGAAGAAGAAACTCCGGCCACCCACCTGGTAAGCTGGGACTGGGCAGGGGCCTGAGGGGCTCAGAACTGATGGGGGAGGCACAGCTGGGGATTTTAATTTGACAGGTCGGTGCAGGGGCTCTGATGGCGAGGTCCCCAGACCAGCATCACCTGGACACACCTTCAATCCAAATTCTCGGCCAAGTGTAGTGGCTCATGTCTGTAATCCCAGTACTTGGGGAGGCCGAGTCAGGTGGATCACTTGAGCCTAGAAGTTCGAGACCAGCCTGGGCAATGTGGCGAGATCCCATCTCTACAAAAAATACAAAAATTAGCTGGGTTTGGTGGTGCACCACTCTGGAGGCGGGGACTGGGAGACTGGTGGGGGCTGAGAGAGGAAGAGGCCAGGGAATGCCACTCTTGTGAGAAGGCCCTGAACTCTGGCTCTGGCTATGGCTGTGGCTTCTGGGCTCTGTCTTGGGAACCAGGGTGTTGAACCTCTGTGGCCTGTCAAACACCCCACTCTCTCTCCTCTTCCTCTGCAGCTGGGGCTTCACAGTGGTGCATGAGACAGAGAAACATGAGAAACAACAGTGGTGAGTGAGCACCCCGTCCTGAGACCCCAGACTGAGAAAAGATGGTGGCACGTCCACCTTCACTGGTTCCCTCGTCACTGCTCAGATCTGTGTCCTCTGGCAGACCCTGGGGTGGTGAGGTGGACACAGTGTTCCCTGCTCAGCCAGGCCTTTGGCATCATCCAGGTCTGTGTCCCACCCTTAGGTACCTCTGCTGTGACACGCAGATGGAGCTCCGGGAGTGGTTCGCAACCTTCCTGTTTGTGCAGGTACCAGATGCAGAGTGTGGGGTGTGGGGTGGGTCCCTGGAGGTTTCCATTATAGAGAATGGGCACACTGGCTTCTGCACTACTCAGGCCATCCGTTGCTTCAAAGGTTTTTGAGTTGCTTTTAATTCATTTGCTAGTTTATTCAGCAAATCCTTCCTAGCACCTACCGTTAGTCCCGCCCCAAGCCAGGGATGCTAGGAACAGACAGGACACAGACCCTGCCCTTGGGGCACTCCTCCTGTGGACAGGAAAACAGACCCAGAAGCAGCCAGTGATAGCCCAGTGTGATCAGTGCTGTGGTGGCAGCAGGGAGCCCAGGGGATCTGAGTTTTAGGAAATGTGGGAGAGGCTAGACATGGTGGCTCACGCCTGTGATCCCAGCACTTTGGGAGGCCGAGGTGGGTGGATCATGAGGTCAGGCGATCGAGACCATCCTGGCTAACATGGTGAAACCTGTCTTTACTAAAACAAACAAACAAACAAAAATATTAGCCGGCTGTGGTGGTGCATGTCTGTAATCCCAGCTACTCGGGAGGCTGAGGCAGGAGAATCACTTGAACCCGGGAGGCGGAGGTTGCAGTGAGCCAGGATTGTGCCACAGCACCCCAGCCTGGGCAGCAGAGTGAGACTCTGTGTAAAAAAAAAAAAAAAAAAAAAAAAAAAAAAAAGGCAGTGTGGGAGAATTCACCAAGCAAAGAGGGAAACAGCTTCTAGGCAGGGGGGCGGTTTAGGCAAAGGTCTGAAGATGTGCAAGAGAAGCATAGGTGGTTGTGAGGGGAGAAGCCAGGAGTGCAGGAAGTCCGCACGGGAAAGGGAGTGAGGAGTAGAGTCTCAGAGAGTCTTGGAGGCCACGCCAGGGAAACTGAACTCGACAATGGGCCGTGGGGAACCCTGGTGGGGGCGCAGGTGGCATTTAGGTAGAGTGTGGTGCATGCTGGAGTCTGCCAGGGCTCACTCTGGGTGCAGCGTCAGGAAGAGGGACAAAGGGTAGAGCCCAAAGGTGAGCAGGCCAGTTGAGGCAGTGGCTGTGGTAGCCGAGGCGGGGACATGGTGGGGACGACTCCTGAGCCAGAGCAGGGCCAGAGGCTGGGTTAGACTTGAAACAGATGAGTTAAGACAAAGAGTTTTTCACATAAGAGTCCACAAGTGTTTAGGAAAAAGGGAAACAAAATGACCAGGGCGGGCTGAGTTCTTTCTTGGAGCTGTGTTCTTTTAGCCCTGGGCTTCCTGGTAAGCAAAGCCTAAAGGGAAACAGGGTGGATTCTGTAGTTCCTGGTTCCTAAGTGGGGCGCAGACCTGTTCCTCTAGGAGAAATGTTTTCTTGGTTCTTGGAGGGGTTTGTGGATCTGGAGATGGGAGTTGTTGAGTAGCAGAACTGGCCATGTTTTGCCAGAGATGCAGTCATGTTCTCCCCACAGCTGCTTCTCATATCGGCTGGGATCAAAGCTGAGGGAGTCATCTGAGATCACAGCTGGAGGCGTTTCTGGGAAGGGTAGGCAGATCTGAGGCTGAGTGTCTGGCTGAGCTGAAGCTGAGCCCAGCCCCCTCCTCTCCCTGCTCCCCAGCACGACGGCCTGGTGTGGCCCTCAGAGCCCTCTCGTGTGTCCCGGGCGGTGCCTGAGGTCCGGCTGGGCAGTGTGTCACTGATCCCCCTTCGAGGCAGTGAAAACGAAATGCGCCGGAGTGTGGCTGCCTTCACCTCGGACCCTCTGTCTGTGAGTGGCTCTCCATGCCTTTGGACAGGGGCTGGGGACCTGGCTGGTTACCTGCCTTCTATTCCACAGTAGATGATTCTTCTAATTGCCCTCTCTAATTGTCCTCCAGCCCCCTCCCTCCAGCTTCAGTGGGGGCCCCCGTAGGCCCCTTTGGTTCACACTGTTCACAGGAGCCCCTTCTGCTTGGCCCTGGGAGCTGGGAGTCCCCTGTGCCTGGCCCTGGGAGCTGGGAGCCCCCTCTGCCTGGCCCTGGGAGCTGGGAGCCCCCTCTGCCTGGCCCTGGGAGCTGGGAGTCCTCTGCCTGGCCCTGGGAGCTGGGACCCCCCTTGTGCCTGGCCCTGGGAGCTGGGAGCTGGGAGCCCGGCAGACTGGAGTGCGCCCCGGCCAGCAGCGGAGAGTGGCTGCAGCAGCTTTAGCGGGGCGCTGGCCCCTCTGGGCCTTCACAAAATGCCTGTGGGCCTCTTGCCTTCCTGCAGCTCCTACGCAACGTCTGAGCACAGGAGCCCACCCTTGGCTCTAGGATTCTGCTGCTGGAAGCCTTCTGTTGAGACACCCATTATGCCCCAAGGCCTGGTGTGCGCCAGCAGAGGTTGCATGGGAACCGGCACCCCACACTCACGTCCTCCATCCTGACTGTAGCATGGGGTTCCCTGGCTGGGGTGGGAGGCAGCAGGGTTAGCCTGGGTGGGAGTCTCTCCCAGCTGTGTCCAGGTGTTCAGTTCTCTTGGCCCAACCTGCTCACCCCCCGGGTTCACTGTCCCTGAGTTTGTGGGGCTGGAGAGATGGGCATAAGTCAGGAACGTGGGAGGACCACCACCCTTTAAGAGACTTGAGGCCCTGGGGCCCCCGCTGGAAGGGAGCCCTCTGCTCCCCACAACAAACTCCAGAACAGCAGAAAGCGGGTGCTCTAGAGGAGCACTCCGCCTGAGGGGAGGGAGCTCTTGGCTGAGCTTCTACAGAGCTGAGAGCTGCACTTTCAGGTTTTCAGCCTGCCTTCCAGTCTGGGCTGACTGGGAGGTCCAGAAGACCCGATGCCCCTTCCCCACTTTGGGGGCTTTTTGATAATATAAATATATCTGTATATTTTACCCTAAGGTGCTGAGGCCTGTGATTGGTTAAGGGGATTGGGCGTCGTGGGTAGGGGACATGAGGTCAGGAAGCCCAGGGGTGAGTGTCTAGTGCCTGAAGCTGAGAACCTAGGCCTTGCTTCTTCCAGGCCCTGAGCTCTTCAGATGACCCCCTTCCCTAAGCAGAACCCTGTCCTGGCTCCATGCCACCCCCATTGTACTATTGTGCAGCCGGGCTGGGAATGCTGGTCCTATCCTGGCCAGCAGTGACCCTGAATGGACCTGAGTCCCTGTACTGCTGCAGTCTGAGTCTGAGTCGCAGCTGGGGCCTGGGTATGGTGTGTCAGTGACACAGGCCCAGCAGCCCTGCAGCAGCCCCTGCTGGAGACACAAGGTCAGACCACAGGAGCCTGAGTAAACTAGGAAGACGGACCTTCAGGTCACATGTGACCCGTGCCTGCTCATCCAGAGGTGAGGCCTGCCGTGCACGGGGGGCTGCCCTCACTGGGCACTGCCTGGCCATCTCCTCCAAGAATAGGAGACCCTGGCCTGCAGGGGAGATCATGAGCTGCTCAGAGATGGGTTTGGGACTCCCTGGGGAGGTGCCAGACACCACATTCCCACCTTTGCCTAGACCCTCATTACCACCCGCTCTTCGGGGACTCAGTGCGCCGACAGGTTGACCTCCTGTCCTTAGCCTCATTGGGCCAGTGGGGCTGGGCAGAGTGGATGAGGATGGGCCATGTGACCTCTGACTCAGGCGTCCATCTCAGTGGGGAGCCTGGGGTCCAGCAGGGCACTTGGAGACCTGGACTCCAGGTTCCCTCTCCCTGTGTCTCAGGAAGGGGAGGTATATGCCAGGAGACTGGAACCAGCTCCCCGAGTCCTGCTGACCCGTTTCACAGTCTGGGACCAATCCCCTTGACTCTCCCACCCCATGTGGGCCATTCTGGGCCAGATTCACAGGTCAAATGTATGATTCTGCCTCCAGCCAGCACAGGGCTGATGGACCCCCTTATCCCAGTGCTTGGGGTCAAGAACCTGCTCCTGGATCTGACCTTGCGCTGCTCAGCCAGCCCTGAGGCCCTGAGTGGGTGAGACTGGAGGCACCCCCTGCTATGCTGTGGCCACTGCCCCAGCTCAGGGGGCTGGTTGCAGTACTGCTCTGGGCCACAAGGCGGCAGCCACGGACCACTCATCTTTGCTAGAATCAAAGCAGGGTCTGGAGGACACCCGGGTGGTGGTGCTGGCCCAGGGGTTTCTCTGCTAGGGTGTGAAGCGGGACCCAGTTCTGCCTTTGGTCTGCAGGCTGGTGACATTCTGGAAGGCAGCACGTACAGAAATATGCTTTGGAGTCCTGGGCTCTGGGAGCCAGGAAGAGGTGGGAACAGCCTTCTACCAAGAGCCTGATGTGACTTGGCCCCTGTGCCTCCTGCACTGTCTGCTCTTGACAAGGGGGAGCTAGGCCCAGAGAAGGGAGGCCACTTTCCCAAGCCCACGCAATGCCCGTGAAGCAGGCCTGAGGTCCATTCTCACTGTCCTACTTTGGTGGAATCTCCCTCTTTGACTTACTCCTGATTCCAATTCTTTGCTCCCCTTACAAGTGGCCTGACTTGTTCCCTGAGGCAGGGGGTCTGAACTGTCAGTTAGTGATGGCATAAAGTGCTTTCCCTCTGGTAGAGGGTGGGGTGACATCCTAACAGGAGCCTCAGGGCCTCAGTCAGAATGATATATGCCTGTGACAACAGTGTTGGATGGGTTAGGGTAGGAGGCCCTGCTGGTCCTTGTCACAAGGATTCCTAAAAATGGGGCCTCTTGGGCCCCTGGGTGGTTTGCTCATTCACATGTTATTTGAGGTCAGGTTGCCAGGGATGGGTTGAAGAGCCCAGACCTGGACCTTCAGAGAGGCTGAAAGTAGCTCTTGGAGAAGGATGGGTTTCCTGGACAAGGAGGTGCTCCTGAGCCAGCCTCAAAGCCCGGAGGCCTTGCCAGGCACAGTTGTGGTAGAGGTTGAAACGTTGGGGGAGGAGGACAGGGCTTCAAGGACCAACCCAAATCCAGGCCCAGCACCTGGGGAACATGGAGAGCCCTGGGAGAGAAGGCTGAGGCATGGCAGAGCCTGGATGGTGAGGGCATTGCAGGAGGGGAGGCCAGGAGGCAGAGGGGAGGGGGGCAAGGGGGTGACGTGGGATGCCTGCCTCTCTCCTGCCTCCTTCCAGCATAACCTTCCTACCCTGCAGAGTTCTGAGGCATCCTGGGGCCTCTGGAGAAGGAAAGCAGTAGGGCAGGGAAGGGCAAGAGCTGGGCCTTCTTTCCTGGCCCCGTCCTCTGCTGGTCTCCAAGCTGCCTGCTCACAGCTTGCTGTCTTGGAAAGCACGTGTGTGTGGATGCCGGTGCTCCTGTTTACGAGCTGTGTGACTTCGCCTGAGTTACTTAGGTCTCTGATCCTCAATATTGTCATCTGTATTTTGCGGGTGTTAATAGTAGCTACCTTCTAGTGGTTTGGGGGAATTAAATGAGCTAGTAATTGTGAAGTGTCTAGTACTGTCCCTTGCTAATCTCCTTTTCAAATGTCTGAGAAGGTATCATGGCATATCCTAGGCCCAGTATTTTTGCACTCAACAAGTACTTATTGAACATCGACTGTATGCAGAGCTTTACTGAACACTGAGGGGGTGCAGATGAGTGAGTGGTGTGGAGGAAGGTGGAGACCCCCAGGTGGAGGATATTGATGAGGAAAGATTGGAGGAGGTGACTCTGAAATTAGAGGCAGTTCTCCGCAGGTGGGGGAGAGGAAGTGGCCTGAGCACAGGCAAGGGGATGGCAGTAAGTGACCTGCTGTGGCTGGGGCACAGTGCCCCATGGCACCCTAGGGCCTGTCCCCTAAGCCCCTACCTCTGAGGTATGACCACATCCCAGTCAAATGGGCTCATGGGATCATCCCCCATCAGAACAAGGAACAGTTCCTATTCTCTTAGTTAGCTCTGTGACCTAAGTGACCCTGACCCTGCTCTGGGGAACATCTCTTACACATGTAAATACAGTGGCCTCAACCTCCCAGCCCTTCCTCCAGTATAACATCTCCTTCAGGAAGCTCTTCTGGGTTGCCCTTCCATCCCACTGTGCCTCTTAGGGTATGTGTATATGCCCAGGTCACCACTTGCCGACTTGCATCCAGGGATTCACTTAGGAACAACCGTCAGGGACAGTTCCCCTGGTCAGCCAGAGTTGGCCCAGCGCTAGCATGTCCCTTCTCCCACGCCACTTCCAGCCTATGGAAATTTCCGTACTTTGTCTGCCCTGGTTACAGCTCCTACTGCTGTACTTATCACCCTGGAGACACAGTGGCACAGGCGCACACATGCCACACACCCAGGCCTGCACACATGTGTCTGCACACCTCAGCCTGTTCCTCCAGTTCTGCGAGTGCATGCTGCTCGGGCACACATACACACAAGTGCACACACACCCAGGCCTGCACACATGTGCCTACACACCTCAGCCTGTTCCTCCAGTTCTGCGAGTGCATGCTGCTCCGGCACACATACACACAAGTGCACACACACCCAGGCCTGCACACATGTGCCTGCACACCTCAGCCTGTTCCTCCAGTTCTGTGAGTGTATGCTGCTCGGGCACACATACACACACGTGCACACACACAGCACGTGGATGAACACACACACACACACGGCACGTGGATGAATACCACCCACACAGAGCTCTCTAGGAAAATTGCTCCCCCTCCCTCCTGCTCCTCCTCCTCCACCCTGTCCTCCCACCACCACCCACTTCCAAACGCTGAGACCAAAGAGATGGGCTGGACGGTGCCTCCCACCACTTGTCAGCCTGGGACTCCCGCCTCCGTGACTGTAGCGTGCCCTCCTCCCTCCGCCCGTCTGCCTCCCCAGCTCTCCCTGCCTCCGCCTCGCCGTGCCATCTCTCTGTGTTCCTGTGTATCTGTCCTCCACACAAGTCACTGAGGCCTCTCTTTGTTACTCTTTTGACTCTGAAGTGGAAACTGCTCCTCCCAGCTTTCCTGAGAGGCTCAGGATGGGGACCTCATAGGGCAGATGGAGGCACAGGGACAAGTGGAAGGGACCCCAGGTCCTGAATCTCCTCAGCTCCTGTCACCTTCAGTCCCTCCTGTTGTGTTAGGGGAGGGCTGTGTGTCTGGCACCATGGAGACCAGCGTCATAGCAACACAGTTCGGGTAGGCACAACTTCCTTCCCCTGGGGTGTGGGGTCCATAGGAGGAGCTGCCAGGAGGTGCTGAGGAGGTGGGCCTAGTGCTGGTGCCCATCACAGCTGCCTCCGGCTCACCATTCCCAGGACAGCCCCCCAGCCCCCTGCCAACTTTGCTTGCCACTGCAGCTTCCAGTGCCACAAGTCACTGATCCCATTTGGGAAATCCTCTCAAACACCAGCTCCAAAGCTGGGGGCCAGAGAAGGCATGGTCTTGCTGAAGGTCACACAGCAAGTGGGGCCAAGCTCCTGACTCTCAGACCTGAATTCTCCAGTCTCCCACCTTCCATCCAGAAGGAGGGCACTGGGGGCAAAGGGGTCAGTCCAACCTCAGTTCCCGCCACCATCTCTAGCCAGCCCTTAGAGTTGGCAGTGGGAATGAAGATGCATCATGGGGTGCCCACCACCTGCTGTGCCAAGGCTTTGCATGTGTCATCCCATTTCATTCCAACAGGACCCAGGAGGAAGATGACTGGTAAGTGGAGGATCTAGGACAGGAACACAGGTCCCTCCCCGATGGGGCAGGCGAGCCAAGATTCGTGTGTATTGCTGTCTCCATCGGGCACCCTTTTAAAAGAATGGCAAAGTTTTCAATCCCATCTTTTTTGCTGGAGAGAGTGGAGGGGGAGGATCTGGGGCATAGTCTGGCTTTAGGGTTTCTAGAAACCCGGGGGTATTTTTCTAAGAAGATAGAGAACAGAGCCTTCCCAGCGTGGTTAGACCTAGGGAAGACCTTTATTGCAGTGCAGCAATGCAGGCCGGCTTCCAATCCCCAGGTCAGGCTGCAGTCTAGGGACAGAGGGGAGGCCCCTGCCTCCTGGGCCTAGCCTCAACTTGTCTCCCGACCTTGATGGAGTCACGTTGCAGCTGCCTCCCTCCTGGCTTACGTAATAATTCAAATATAGCAGCTGCCTTTATCCCACTGAGTCACACCCCCTCTATCCCCCCTCAGGTGTGGGGAGTTATGGGGGAAGAGGTGGTTCAGGGCTGAGTGGGAGGTTCAGGGCCTCCTGGCAAGGAAGATCCTGGTGTGCTGGGTTGGAGGGTGGTGGTGGTGAGGGGCTGGTGCTGAGGCCCCAAGAAGAGTGAGCCTTTCCCAGAATATGAAACCACAGGCGCCACTTCTGCCCTGACCCATCCCTGCTGGAATTCCACATTCCTGGGGGCCATCCCCAGAGTCACAAGCTATATGCACAGCCTTCTCTGGTGGGCCGCTGTCCCAGCTGGAGGAGGTGAGGGGGGAGGACGGAGAACGGGAAGAGTATGAAGAGGGGGAAGTAGTCTGGTGGGGCAATGGCCAGTGTCTCTGGTCCTAGGGTCAGCCCCACCCTTCACTTATTGGGTTGCCTGGGCACCCTCTGATCTCATTTTTCCCATCTGTACCATGAGGGATTGGATTCATTGACTCTAGCGTCTCATGCTCCCTGATTTATAACCCTGGAGATGATCTCAACCTTAGGCTGAAGGCACTTCCGAGTGTCTGGGGCAGCCCCGTTCCAGGCTGACTTCCCTTTCCCTTTTCTCTGCCATCCCTCCTGGACCAGTGCAGCCACCCACAGCCCCCCCACCCCACCCCACAGGACAAGGTAGGCAGGAGAGGGCCCTGGACTTGGTTGAGGGGCTGGGCAGCCTCAGGTGGCTTCTCCCTTCCCTGAACTCATCATCTGTTCCAGCCCCCCAGCTACCTGCCTAGCAGCCATGGGGAGGTTACTGCCCTCACCTGGGGTCACCCCTTCCTCACAGGGCAGCTCTGATGGATCCTGGAACCTGAAGTGGATCCTTCATGCCCCAGCCCTGGGTTCTGAATCCCAAAGCCACCTTCCTGAGGTGTGAAGAAGCTGCTTCACCTTGGAACTACTGTGGAGGCTGTGGTAGCCTTTCATTCCTTTATCAGCGAAAGCTTTGTCACCTGTTGTGTGATGGGGGCCTTGTTTAGTGTGAGAATGCAAGGACCCATGCCAGGCCCTTCCCAAGGACATGGTGCTCCTTCAGCCATTGTCATCAGAGCCACAGAGGGGAGCTTCCTGGCAGAGGAGGAGCGGGGAGAAACACTGTCGCTCCCCACTCCACCCCTTCCCCTGCCTATTGCCGAGACCCAATTGTGGGCTTATCCTGTCCCCCAGCCAGAGGGAGTCACCTGGGGGCATTCAGGCCAACCCTTCATGAAATCCACGTTCCACCAATGACCAGCCTTTCCCCAGAGAGCTGAGGGCTGCTCTGGGGTGGGGGCGCTCACAGAGCAGGTAAGCGAGGGCCCTCCGTTAACTGCCTGCATCCCCATACACCTGCAGTCTCTTGTCTGCAAGCGATGCGTGCTCCTCTGGGCCGGGCTCTGATGTGCACCACCCCATTTCCATCTGCCTCCTTCGTTCTGACTTTCCTCCATCAACATTTCCTGCTTGGAAATGTTGGGGGCTCCTCAAAGGCTGTGGACTAGGGCCGGTGTAAATAGGGCTTTGGCTTATCTTTCGAGGAAAGCAGGACCCTGTAGAAGAAATGAGATAAGCCTGAGCGGGTGAGGGGGGTGGGAGGTGAGAGCTGGTGGGGAGACAGCCGGCAAGCTGGCACATTAGGGAAGGGAGTGGCCACCAAGGGTCTCTAGCCAAAAATCCAGTGTCCTTGTGGGTGGAAGGCAGGGTGTGTGCTGACTGGCTCAGCAGGGCTAGGCCAGGATTTGGGATGGGCACAGAAAAGGAAGAGGAGGGGTCAGTCAGCCTGGGAGGAGAAATAGTGTACAAAGTTGAGGAGAGGACCAGCATGTGCTTAGGGACCAGACCTGGCCCCACCTGGAGCCGAGGATGGGCAAGGTCTGTCAGGGCTGCATCACAAGAGACCTCAAATGCCATGCTGAGGAGCTCGGCCTTGATCCTGAGGGCAATGAGGAGCCCTGCAAAGGTTTTGAGGGGGAGTTCTATGACCAGATTGATGTCTTGGGAGCCACGTCTAAGTGCAAAGTGGAGGTGGAGTAGAGAGGTTGACCTGGGGTAGGGGCTGGAGCATGGCCAGGGGAGGGGGAAGGAAGCAGGGGATGGGGATGGAGGGAGTGGACAGATGTGAGGGAATCTGTTCTTTGGAACAGATTTGATATTGGAAGTTTAGGAGAGGGACGGGGCAAGGCGACTTTGAAGTGTCCAGCTCAGCAGTTAGAAATTTGCTGATGCCTTTAATAGAGACGAAAGTTGTATTGGATGTCAGTATTTGAGTATGAGGGGTTGTTTCCAGGGGAGATATCCAAGAGGCAGTGTGGACACCTGGAGCTCCAGGGAGAGGGATGGGCGGCAGAGGACACCCGGAGTTGTTGGTATGCTGGGAGGCTGCATGCTCCCTGGGAGTGGGGTGGAGGATGAAGAGAGACGGGGCCGGCGTCCTGCGAGGAACATCCATATTGAGGGGGCGAGGACAGGGTGCGCCAGTGAGGGAGACAGAGGAGGGGCCGTCTGGAAGGTGGGAGGGAAACAGCGGCGCAGGACAGGGCGGGGGCGGGCGCTGAGAAGAAGCCGCCTTCTTCGGTAAAGTAGCTGAAGCCTGTGAAGCCTGCAGTTCTCTCAAGGCTTTGGGGGCAGCGCGGAGGCCGGATTCCAGAACTGCATTCTCTCTCCTCCCAGCCCACCTTCAGTTCCCCAGCTAACAAAAAACGGTGTCTATGGACCCCCGGCGGGGCGGGCCGGGCCGGGCCTGTGAACCCGGCTCTCACGGCTCAGCACCCTGGAGAGCGGCCGGGGCGGGGCCTGCGGCGGGGAAGGGTCACCGCCGTCCGATCCCTTGGGCCTTTGGCTCCGGCTGGGAGCGGTCTTGCAGGCTGGCAGTTGGCGGAGGAGGGAAGAACAGTGTTGGATTGTCTCCAGCTCTCTCCCCTTTATGCACCTCCGCCATCCTGGCACTGGCCCACAAGAGCCCCTGTCCCAGCATTTGGGGCTATTACTCTCTTGGCTCCATCAATTCGACGACTTCAGGGAAGGAGATGGGAGGGGAGGGGCAACTATTTACTGGGAACTTTTCAGACATACCCAAAACCTCACAGCCTTTTGAGCTTGGAATTTGTGACCCCATATTTCAGATGAGAAAACTAAACTGAAGTTCAGGAAGGTGAAATACCTTGCGCAGGCATGTGGCAGAGCTGGGATCTAAGTTCCCGAGTGCCCATTAGCCCTTCTGAGTCCTGGATCTTGCATCTTGCCCCTGCAGACTCTCCACTTCCGGGTGGCTGTGGAGTCTGGTGTGGCACTGGGATTGGGAGGAGACCCTCCCTTCCACCTACCTGTTTGGGTGTATTCCCAGGAGATTTCTGAGGATGAGGCCACCACCATTGTTTCTGGAGTGGGAGGGCAGAAAGGAGGCTGAGGGCCAGGTGAGACCTCCTTGCACCTGCACCCACCCACACCCAGGAGGCATCCTCCTTTGAACTCTTCTGACTCAGCTTCTTGCTACCAGCTTCCTCGGACCCTTAAGCGGGTTCCCAGGGCGTGAAGGGGAGCTGTGAGGGACCAGGACGGGCCATGGTTGAGGGCTGCAGCTTTCTGAACCCAGAGAATGCCTTCCTACCTGGTAGGAATGGAGCAACGAGGCCCCAGTGATAGGTGAGGCAGAGGAGCAAGACACAAGTTCTGGGCTGGCTCAGCTGGTTTACAATCAGCCTGGGCCTCGTTCCCTTTGAGGAAATGGTTTGCCCAGAGCTTTCAGATGTCTAAAATTCTATAATGCCTTTTGGGGCCACACTGGGAAGCAAAGGCTGCTCACATTTTCTTTCCTGACACTTCCCAGGCCAAGAGACAACAGCTTTCTGCAGCACCCAGCCTGGGCTGGCTGGCTGGAGCAGCTCGGTCATTTCTGGACTTGCCCCCTCCAGTGTGTACCGCCTGTATTCTTCAGCATAGGTCAGGTTTCCATTCAGCCTCATGGACTTCTCTGCTTGGAGTCTGTTTTATGGGTCGGGGGTATTCTCTCCACAGCTCAGAGAGATGGGGTCACTGCAGAGGGTTTGCTGTAGCTTTTTGGAATATACCCACTCTTCCAGAAATGCTTGCTAACCCCCACCCCCACGGGGTCTGGGGTTCCCTCTGGGCTTCACAAACCCTGTGCTTTCTGTCACAGCCTGCAAGTCTCCCCTCCTCCCTGGCAGTCTGAGTGCTTCTCTGAAACAAGGGAAAGTGTGAGCCATGGGGTCAGCCACTGGTAGGCCAATGAATAAGTAAGTTAATGGTGAGGCCAGGATTTAAATCCCCATTTCCTGCCTCAAGGTGTGAAACTCTTTCTCCTGCATACAGTAGGTCTGCTGCGACAACTCCCTATCTGTCCTAGAGCCTAAAATGCCTCTATTTCATCAGGTTAAAGCTTTATCCTAAGGAGCCCTCTTTGGAAGCTAGAGTGGGGGTGCAGCAGGCCTTCCACCATGCCTACAGTCTGTGGGTGGCAAAGGCCAGTGGGGCAGGCTGTGGCCTAGGTGTCCACAGACCCTGGTAGAAATCCATGCTCACACATCAGCTCCGAGTCCCAGCTAAGCCGAGTCACCAAGAGGTGGCCCTGTGACAAGGCTGTGAATCCAAAGGCCAGCTAAGCTGCCACCAAGAGGTGGTCCTGTGACAAGGCCCCTGAGTCTTCCGTGGACCCAACTCCATGCTGGGGTGCACTCTAGAACATGATAGACAACGGGTGAGGGAGCCCAGAGGAGAGGGCGGCTAGCTGTGCATGGAGGCCTGACCTCTCGGACTCGAGGAGGGCACAAGTGTGCCTCCTCATCCTGAAGGCTTTTGCAGTGGGGCAGCAGAGGGTCTGGGTCTGCTGCTCCTCGAGTTTCCAGTCCCATCATAGCCCATGAGGATTGCAAATCCCTCATCCTCACCCCTCTCTCCTCTGTCAGCCACTCCCCTCTCCCCCTACCCTGCTCTCTTTCTATTTTTGCCTCTGATTTTTTTTCCTTTTATGTCTTTGTTCCTCTGTGTGTGCGTATTTCCCTGTGCCTCTCTGATCTCTTTGTACTTCCATCTTGATCTCTGTGAGGCTCTGATGCCTCTCTCCTCTCCCTCTTCCTGTGTTCCTCTCCCCCTTCCTGTCTCTGTTTATCTCTCAGTCTCTGTGTGTGAGTCTTTTTTCCTCTCTCTCAGTCAGACTCTCTCTCTACCCCTCCCTCTCTCCCTCTCTGTCTGGGCCTCTCTCTGTTCCTCCTCCCTCCTCCCTCCCCCTTCTGCATTATCAGACCTGCTCCAACCTCCTCCCAGAGCCAGCCGAGCAGCAGAGGCAGTGGCAGCGGGAGAGGTGGGAGCAGCAGGGCAGCAGAGCTGGATTGGGGTGTTGAGTCCAGGCTGAGTGGGGGGCATCCCACTGCTCTTGGTCCCTGTGCCTGCTGGGGGTGCCCTGCCCGAAACTCCAGGCAGCGGGGACAGGGCGCGGTGCCACCTTAGTCTGGCTGGGGAGACGGACGATGAGGAGTGATGGGGCAGGCATGCGGCCACTCCATCCTCTGCAGGAGCCAGCAGTACCCGGCAGCGAGACCGGCTGAGCCGTGAGTATAGTGAGGGGCTGGGGTGGTGAGCGGCTGTGAGAGGTGCCACAGACAGGGTCCTGGGAGTCCCTCCAGGGAGCTGGGGTTGGCATGGAGCTGAGCCACGTGGAAGGATCGATTCTGCTCTTGGGCACCCCTCCTCCCCGTGTTGCTGGACTGCAGCCTGGGGCAGGGGCGGGATACCTCTGAGCAGGATGAGGGTGCCCAACGTCAATCTAGTAGGTGATGAGGCTGGCATCCCATGGAAGGGGCTGATGGTTGGAGGAGGGGCTGGTAATCCACCTGAACCGTCTCTTCAAGGGCTGAGGTGGGGTGTGGGGAGGGGGAGGCCTGCCAAGGAGTTGGGAGGAGCTCTCAGGGCTGCGATAGGCTGATTCAGGACCCTGGAGAGGGAGAGTGTCTTGGCCCACCAAGGCTGTGTGTGTGAAGGAGGTGGGGAGGGGGAGAGATGGAGAAAATATGAATAAGAGTGGCCCTGGAGCAAGAGAGGGTCAGAGGTAACTGCCCTCCATGGAATTGGGAGTTGGGGTTCAGGGACACCACTTTATGAAACTTTACCCCAAAGCATCTGTCCCAGGATAGGGTTCTATGGAGCCAGATGGAATGAGGTGCCAGCCTCGTGTGTGTCCACGTGCAGGGGGGTGCGTGTGCCAGTGAGTGGGGGGCTCCATGGAAACACCCCTCTACTAAGAGCTGCTGAGGTGGCAGGCAGGGCGTGTGTGTTTGTGTGTATGTGTATACACATGTGGAGTGTAAGGGACACGTTGGGTGTAGAGGGGCCTGTGGAGCTCTAGAGTCCTTGATGTTTGGATACAAAACAGCCTGTCAGAGTTTGTGATCATCACTGTGTGACTGGGAGTTTATTTGCATGTGTCTGAGTGTGAGTGCAGGTTGGTCTGCATATGTATGTAGGTGTGTCTATTAGGTTGTGTTTTTGTGTTATGTGTGTTGTGTCTGAAAAACAGAATGAATCGATGTGCATTTTTATCTGTTCCATGTGTATTCATGTGCATGTATTTGTTAGTGTGTGAATAATATTGTCGCTTGTGTGGGGGTGGATGTGGATGTGTGCGTTAGCATAAGTGTTCTGGTGTGGGTGTGTGATCATGGTGCTAGTGTGTATATTGGTACTTCTGTGGCTGGTGTGTGTGTGTCTGTCTGTCTGTGTTATCCGAGTGTGTGTGGGTGGCTGTTTTCTTCCTCTGATTGAGGACACAGCTGGGACACCGTGGCCCACTGAGGCAGGGCGGGGGTGGCTGAATGTATGACCACCTCTTTGAACTCAGGACAATTTATTCTACACCCTGTGGGAGAGATGCAGAAAAGAAATAGGCAATAATGACTCTTCCCCCTGGGACCTCTAAGCTTCATAGACATAAAATAACTGGAGAATAATTAAGTAGTAGGGATCAGGTCATGCTAACAGGTGGGGGTGGGGTGGGAACCTCATAAGCAAAAGCCCTGGGCTGGGCTGGGCTGGGCATGTCCTGGAGCAGTGAGGATGCTGTATAAAGAGAGTGGGGGGCAGGCAGGAGCCACATTCTGCAGAACTGTCAGCTCCAGGACTCTTGGACTTTATCCAGAGAGCCCTGGGGAGCCCAGGAAGGTTTTATGCAAGGGAGAGACATAATCAGATTTGGGTTTTAGAAACGTGCCTTGGGCCAGGTATGGTGGCTCACACCTGTAATCCCATCACTTTGGGAGGCTGAGATAGGTGTTCACCTGAGGCAGGTGAACTCACTTGAGGCCAGGAGTTCGAGATGAGCCTGGCCAACATGGTGAAACCCTGTCTCTACTAAAAATACAATAAAATTAGCTGGGCGTGGTAGCACATGCCTGTAGTCCCAGCTACTCAGAAGACTGAGAAATGAGAATCACTTGAACTTGGGAGGTGGAGATTGCAGCGAGCTGAGATTGCACCACTGCACTATAGCCTGGGAGTGACAGAGTGAGACCCTGTCTCAAAAAAAGGAAAAAGAAACCTGCCTTAGTGGCATTGTCCAAGTTGAACTGGAAGAGAGAGGTGGGGCCAGGAGGCTAGAGTGGAGGCCAAGCCAGTACAGGGGTCAGTGAGTTCTGGGGCTTTTTGAGGACTTGGGAAAGGCTGGATAGATGAGGACAGGGAAGGGCTTGTCTAGGTGGCTCAGGCTTGGACTGGGTGGGGCTGTAGTGCAGACACCTCAATAAGTCAGGATCTCAGGAGGGAAAAGGCTCTTGGAAGGCTCAGGAAAGCTGGATGTATGGGCGCTGAGGTAGTGGGAGAGATCTTTGTAGTGTTTCTAGCTAAGATGCAGGGGGTCAGAGATCATGGAGCCATCTCTTGCCAGGCAGGGAAACTGAGACTGTGGCTTCATCACTGTCCTCTGGCTGACAAGGCTGGGGCTGAAGCTCTTCATCAGACCCGACCCTCAATATTATTCTCCTTCAGGCCCTGCTCGGAACCTCTTGGTTGCTGAGCTCGGTCAGCTTAGTGAGGATTAATTGTCTTTATGTTCCCTGCACGCCTCCCCCACTGCACCCCCCCTCAACCGCAGTCATTCCCCCTGCCCACCAAGTGGCTCCTGCCACTCTTCCTGCTTCCCACTCCAGCCTCCTGTCCCCAGGGACTGCTGATGGCTTGGCTGGGATCTAGCCAAATGGTGGGTGGGGAGTGGGAAGAGCTCCCAGCAGCCCCCTACCCCTTGGTCTTAATGGACTGGGAGTCTCACCCTCAGCCATGCTGCTGTCAACCCAGGCCTGTACTCCCCAGACTCCTGCTGCTTGGGCCTATGAAATCTCCCTACTCAGCATGATTCCATTCCTGCATTCATTCAACCACTCAACAGGAACTCCTCAGTACCTGCTTGGTGCCTGCTTGGCCGATCGTTGGGGACACAGAGCAGACGCTGACCAAGTCCCTGCTCTCAGGGCGTACCCAGCCTGATGAAGGAGAAAGAAGTGGAAATCTGCAACCCCGCAGGGTGAGCAGTGCTGTGTAGGAGGTGTGGAGCCCACAGGTTGCCCAGGCTTCAGAGGAAGGGACGTTTGAGCAGGACCTTGGAGGATGGGTAGGGATCGCCCAGACAGGGAAGAGCAGAAGGAACAGCCTGTGAAGGTGGGGAGGAAGGGCACAGGGCTGGGCACCCGACTTGGTGCGGCCTCCACGTGGGAGGAGACGGTAAGGGCATCGGGGCCGTTTTCTAGCAGTTGCTTCGCTGCTCTTTATCTATCCAGCCTGCCGTCTGCACACCCCCAGAAACGGGGTGTTCAGCTCATCCCTCCTGGGCAGCCCCTCCCTGGTAGTGGTTATATCTGCCCTGGATCTTCTCTGCAAGGCCCGGCAACTCCAGGCTACCCAGCCTGGCCTTATGTCCTGTCTCCATCCTGTGTCCCTGTCCTCTGAAACAGGGCCAGGCTGGGGCATAATGATCCAGGAGTGGCTAGAACCCATCCTAGGCAGGGAGTGGGAGACATGGGCAGCCTTTATTAACAAAAAAACTGAGCTGGGGGCAGGCCCTGACTCCTCTCCAAAAATAATGACAAAGAAGCAGGCAGGGCCAGAGGAGGGAGGACAGACAGCAGGTGCAGAAAGGCTGTGAGTCTCTTGGCTTCATGAGAGTGGGCTGTGGGTATGAAGGGGAAAGTCTAGGACAGGAGGGGGAATTGGAGGCAGAGGCACTGTCAGTCTTGGACCCTCCCATAGGTGAGTGAAGGAAGTCATCTAGTGAGAGGGATCTAGGGAGGGGGATCAGGACTCATCATTCATTCATTCAGCAGCCATTCTCTGGGCTGCTACCCTACCAAACATGACAGCCCTAGGGGAGATGGACAGAGCCAGTGACCACATGGATGGAAACCCAGAGTCTTTCCTACCTGTGCCATGTCACAGGAAGGTATTTAGGAGGAGGGGCTGGCCTTATAAGGAAGACATACTTCAAACTGAATTGAGAGACAGCACCAGGAAGAGGGAACAGCATGTGCAAAGGCCTTGAGGTGAGGGCGAGTATGACTTCGTTTACTCAGCACTATAGGCGTTCCGAGTGGCCTAGGCATGAAGCACCAGGCTGGGGGGAAGCACTGGGTCATGGTGGAGCAGGAAAGGAGTGAGGAATTGAGGCTAGACTGTAGGAAGCACTTTCTACCATGAAGGTGTCTCCAACAGGCTTGATGCGTAGGCATCATTGTAAGTTTGCAACTTCTTGGTCTCTCCTGGTGCTCCTGACCGGGGCCTGCTGAGGGACCCAGCCTTGCTTGAGAAAGGGGTGTTCAGTGAATGAAAGAGATCCTAGAAATGGGGGAAAGGCAGTGGCTAAAGAATGTGGGCCCATTCCAGAAAGTGGCATGCAAACAAATGCAAAGCAATATGCAAATCAGCTGACTAGGGCTTGGCAGCTTTGGTTGGAAGAAATGAGCCATCACCCCCTCTTAGGCCAGTCTCTCACCCCCTCCACCTCAGCCCCCAGGACAGCCAGAACACCCTTGTCTGCTCCTCCGAGCACCCCAGCTTTCCTGAGCCACAGATTGTGGCTTCCAGTGGGGGCCATGGTCTCCCTGTCAGCACCCTCATCCTCTCAGGAAGTTGATATATTTAGTAACAGGAATGTTTTCACACGTTTATCTCCTATTGTTCAGCTGCTTGCTCCCTGGAAAAGGCCAGGTCCCCAGTGACGTGACCCATTTCTTGGAGTCCCTGAAGTCACCCTTCTCAGTGCCCTCCCTGAAAAACAGGAGGCAGCTGGGGCTTGGTGTAGCAGAAGAGATTTGAGTCAAATATCTAGGAGGACTTCCCAACAGTGTAGTTGCTGCGATGTGTGGACCCTGAATTTCTGGGCTTTCATTCTTTGGATGGTTGCCTTGGGTGCAGAGGAGGCTTTGAAGATAGAACAGAAAAGGTGGCAGACAGGCTTATGCTCAAATTTCAGCATACTGAAAGATGTACTGTTACTCTGTTGCTGTGTGGTCCTGGGCAAGTTACTTAACTTCTCTGAACCTCATGTGAATAGTAGGGTGGAGTTAATTAC